AATCAGCATGATTTGCTCACTGATCATCATCTGCGTACTCTGATTTGCTCACTGAGTAAGCTACATCAATAGGTAGAATGCAAAAAGTCGGATTCTATCATATTTTACTAGTTAAAGTTATGCATATTCATCGACCATACCATACCTTGCTTTACAACTAGATTTCTGTCATTTATGAATAATGCTGGCTCCTCCTAGGTTTACTGTAGATCTTGAGAACGGACCGAGCAAGAACCGGATTAAGTAGAAGTAGGGGAGTAGAGTCACGTTAAGTTTGGAGAGGAGAGCGCGGTCACTGGCATCTAGACCCCAAAGCAAGATTGACTTGGTGCGCGGAAGCTATGTTCATAACTGTTCCTAGGAATTGAAACCCGGTGAACTAGTAGCTATGGGCGCGGTGATATCCCATAGTCAAATACTCCGAAATTCTTACATGTATGACTCTCAAACCCGTAAGCAAATCACATGGCAAGTTGGATATAAAGAGAAGGCCCTCTGAGTATGATATTGACCTTCTTCCTAGGATCAATACGGAATTCCCAGCTTTGAAGTCACCTTGATAGTTCAAGCAAGAGCTGTGTAAACAACAAAAGTGGGGCCAAGAGTTCGACGCCGGACCACCTGCTCCCATCAAGACACACATTCTGGAGGTATTCCTTCATTTGACGTCTATCAATTCTATAAAATACGCCCCTTTTCAAAATGGCAGAGAGAAATCGATCAGCTTCACCTTCCGACACGCCGCGTGCCCAACGAGCTATACGTCGATTAGCAAGAGCATCCCCACCCGCAGCATCCCCGCCCGCAGCCTCCCCGCCCACAGTACCCCCGCCTACAGCACCCCGCGGACTGTCAACACTCTCCACAGACACTGCGGACTTACTGACCAGCTTAGAGAAAGACGCCCGGGCTAGGATCGAGGCTTATGAAAACCAGTCTCTTCGCGATGAGACGCTGTTGAAAAGCGGCTTGAATGCATTTCTCACGTGGCTACCAGAGGCTGGTAGAACCTCACTTGCGAGGGATGTTATTGAGACAAGCTCTGCCCGAGAGCTGTACGATGTTTTTATGAACCTTTTCGCCGGACTTGCTGCACCAAGTAAGTAGTTCCGTTCAAAAGTATCCGTTGACTTTTCTTAGCATTGCTAAATAGTGAAATCCCGATCAAAAACACCCTCTGCTGTGGAAAGTCCTCATTCAAAGCGCCAGGACCACGTCGATACAGTTGTCTCCACCCTCGATGAACCGGAAAGGCGTGACCCTTCGTTCGCGGTACAGCTCCAACTACGGGACAACTATCGCTGTGTGATAACAGGTCAACTGAACACCGATCAATGGGAGAAGGAAGGGGGACCAGCAAACGTTTTCCATGCCCCGACTGAGGGAGCTCATATAATACCTTTTGCGTTTGCCTCTTGGCCAGAGGTATCCAGGGCGCCAGGAGATATATCGCGTACCTGGACTTTACTATATAAGTGTTTCCCTACGCTACGTGAAATACTTTCAGTAGAGGAGATCAACACTCTTCGCAATATGATCACTCTTCGAGACGCGGTGCATACCCAGTTTGGTAAATTCACAATCGCCTTAAAGCCTACCGTAAGCAGGCAATGATCTACTATAAAACCATTTACACTCACTCTTCTTATTAGGACATCGAAAATGAGTACGAGGTAAAGATTTACAAGCTCTATCCCCAGGCTGATATCCCCGCTATTCCCTCCGATCGGCGCGTCCGAATTTTTCCAAACATAGAGCATGAGATTCCAAACCCCGCAATTCTCGATGCGCATTGGAGAATGTGCGAAATTTTCAATGCATCTGCTATGGGACAGACCATTGAACGACGTATTCGGGAATGGGAAGAGTTGAAAGGCTCTGGGTACGCTGTTATTAGAGAGGACGGCACGACCGATCTCGGTGGTCTGCTGGATATCGCGCTATGGGGCAAAGTTTCCACATGAATACACGCTTTTCACTTCTGTATTAGTATTTGGTTAGGTCTGGGTCAATCCTAATTTTATGAAGTCGCCTTCAATTACTATGTTCACAAACCTTCACGTGAGAATACCGGTGATCGATTCAAGAAAAGGTGAGACACATCTCGAGCCCACTTTCGATATTGAATCTTGTTGGGTCACAGGACTATAGCAGTAGATAGTTTGCTCCCTCTCTAGTTTTCTCTCTCCTCTTTTCCTCCCAGAGTCAGCCAATCAGATAGCATAATACATTGTATTGCTTTCTATATCCATAGGTTCCTCCCTAAGAGTATATAGTCTACTTTTATATCTAAGACTTTATCCTCGGGCAGCTCTCAATTAGAAGATAAAATGATATAATATCCTAAAACGGACGGAATTCTCTGCCCTTTCCTACGCCCCTTAGCTATAGCGTATTTTCTTAGTAAGATATAGTGCTTTAAAAAATAAGGGTAGTAGCAATGCTATCAACGAGCCAACTATCATAGTATAAACGGCCCTATAGGGGCTAATCCTTTCTGGATTTAGTCTGCGGCGGACTGAGTGCATTAGTGTTACTTATTGATTGGACACCGAGTATCAAAGAGCATCCAATGATCACTCACTGAGCACTCACTGATGATCAGTCATTCTACACGTGACTGAACTGGAGCATGATTACTGATCTGAGCCCATGCTGACATCTACTCAGCCTAAGCCTAAGTACCCTCATAAAAGCGGCGGCAGCTCAAATAGGAAAGCCCCACCCAGGGAAACATATGATAAGGCGTATAGATACATACATGTACGGAGTATGATAAGCCTAATAAACCCCGATTCGTTCAAAGATATCATTTGTGCCTCAATCTCCAAACCTTGTTAGTGCGCGGTCCCGGACCGCGCCTTGTATTTCATGCGGGGTTTCCTTATGCTCTTATAACATATCACTTACTCCAATCTTTCTAAACACATTGCCCACCATGCGAAGTTCATCTGCAGATGCCTCTGCCGACGAGGCATTGGCCCGTATGGGCTACAAGAGTGAATTACCACGAAACCTAAGCATGCTGAGCATTCTCGGCTTGTCCTTTGCCATTATGGCAGCCCCTTTCGGACTGAGCACAACACTCTACATCACCCTCGCTGACGGTCAATCCGTCACTATACTCTGGGGATGGGTCTTCGTCTCTCTAATCTCAATTGCTATCGCCGCCTCCCTCGCCGAGATCTGCGCCGTCTACCCCACAGCAGGAGGCGTATACTACTGGAGCGCGATGCTCTCAACGCGTCGCTGGGCACCATTGATGTCCTTTATTGATGGCTGGCTAACCCTTGTCGGCAATTGGACCGTCACACTGAGTATTATCTTCTCCGGCGGCCAGTTGATCCTAAGCGCCATCTCGATCTTCGATGAATCCTTTGTTGCCAACGCTTGGCAGACTGTATTGATGTTCTGGGCAGTCATGCTCTTCTGCGCCCTAGTTAACATCTTCTTCTCGCGCTATCTCGATCTCATCAATAAAGTATGCATCTTTTGGACAGCAGCAAGCGTTATCATCATCCTCGTCACGCTTTTGACAATGGCCGACGACCGTAGAAACGCCGAATATGTCTTCGCTCACTATGATGCATCTGAGAGCGGCTGGCCAGATGGATGGGCTTTCTTCGTGGGTTTGCTGCAGGCAGCATACACCCTGACGGGATATGGAATGGTCGCAGCCATGTGCGAAGAGGTACAGAACCCACACCGCGAGGTACCCAAGGCAATTGTGTTGTCCGTGGTAGCTGCTGGCATTACTGGTCTATTCTACCTAATCCCGATTCTTTTCGTGATGCCCAATGTGCAGATGCTGCGCGAAGTAGCCAGCGGCCAGCCAATCGCTCTACTCTTTAAGACTGTGACTGGTTCTGCTGGTGGTGGCTTTGGCTTGCTCTTCCTGATTCTGGGAATCATGCTGTTCGCTGGCATTGGATCTCTTACAGCTGCCAGTCGCTGCACGTATGCATTCGCCCGCGACGGCGCCATCCCGGGCTTCAAGCTCTGGCGTCGCGTGAACACCAAACTAGATGTGCCTGTGTGGGCTATAGTCCTCTCAGCGGTCGTGGATGGCTTACTGGGACTGATCTATTTCGGTTCCACGGCTGCGTTCAACTCCTTCACTGGTGTGGCTACTATCTGTCTGTCGACCTCGTACGGTCTCCCGATTTTGATTTCTGTGGTTAGAGGCCGTCGCGATGTGAAGGGCTCTTCTTTCTCCCTCGGTCGCTTTGGATATGCCATCAACTGTGTTACTATTGTGTGGATCGTTTTGGCTGTTGCTCTCTTCTGCATGCCTGTTACATTGCCTGTTACACCGGAGTCCATGAACTATGCCAGTGTTGTTTTCGCTGGATTTGCCTTTATTAGTATCTTTTGGTACTTCGTCTATGCGCGTAAGCACTTTACTGGTCCTCCTGTTAGCAGTGATGAGGCGCGTGCAGCCACAGACCTTATGACGGGTACGCCGGTAGATGCGGAGAAACCGTTGGAGACGATGAAGAAGTTGCCGAGCGAATAGGGGGGCGTTGTTCAAATGTTTGTATTCTATTGCTATCCACAGAAGTTTTTAAGAAATAATACCAATTCAAATTATACCTATCCTACTAGTAATGATTATCTTCAAATGTAATTTCGGCGACAATCACAAGTGCTTGGACGGTCGCCGAGAGCCGCGGTCCAACGACACGCCATCTTCAAATGATCTTAGAGGGTTTTCGTCTGTCCCACATTTGATTGGAAGTGAATCTTTTCAATCTGGGGAAAAGACAACATTCCGGGGGAAATTAACAGCCCGAGGCACAGGGGAATATCTCCTATCGGAACAACAATCCAATCCCCAATCTCAATTCCAAACTCCCCCCCTTCCAACATCTCTCCAAAAACCTCCCTATATCCTCAAATTCCCAATTTCCAATCTTCTACGCTCCCCATGAGGACCCGCACAAGCCGATGCCCAACCCCGCTCCCATGAAGACAGGGCAAACCGGACCGCTTATCGCGTCATGTCGGACTCTGTAGGTGGGTTGACGTGCAGCTTGCGTCCGCATTCAGATTTCGATTTCACTGATACCTCCCAGATCGAGTCTTTGTTCATGCGCTCAATACCGTTAAGAGGATTCCCCGCACCGGTACTGCGCGACCTCCCGCTGCCGAGCGGTTGGCACTATATGGCTTGTATAAGCAGAGTATGGGTGAGTTGCCCACGCACCACCTGGAAACACAATGGGGAACCTTTGGAGCTAATATCGATCAGAGGGGGATGTGGAGGGTGTGATGGATCGACCAATTGGGAATACGCCGGAGGTGCACGCGGAGTGCGAGAAATGGTATGTCCTTGCCTTGGCCCGGGGGAAAAGAAGCTATTAGATGTGGATCTTGCGGTCTTGCTCGGTCTACGAACATCGCTCTTCCTCTCTCTCTTCCTCATTCTCCCTCTCTTTACATCCAACACTAACAATGTCTTCTCTAGGGATGCATGGTACGCGCAACGCGACATGTCGCGCACCGAAGCCAAACGCCGATACATCTCAACGTTAATTGACACAATGCACTCCTACGCCTCGCAAACCCCCGAAGCACGCGAGCTAGTGGCTGAACTCGAGTTCGTCTGGGACCAGATCAAGTTCAACGCCGCCTCCGATTCCAGTCCGCTGAATACCGTCGGCGTCCCGCCCTTATCGCGCAGTGCGTACGGGAGTATTGGGAGTCGATTGGCGAAATCGGAGGAATACGACCGTCCTGATCGACGAGACCATACCAAACGGGACCGTGATTCAAGGCTACGGGTGCTTAGCCCTGTGAGTCAACCCGAGGAGGAAGAATATTACCGACGGAGGAGGGATATAGAAAACAGCGAGAACGGGGAACGGCATAATGAGGATGAAGACGAGGAGGACGAGGAGTTCGAGGAAGCTCGCGATAGCTTATACGAAGAACGAGATCAAGACGACCACGACGACCCCGACCACACTAGCTCCAACTCCAACACACACACACATACAAATACAAATACCGAGGCATCTTCACATCATCGCCCCAAACACCGACGCAACCCAGCCTCAGGTATTAGTATAGACAGCAGTGGGAACGGACTCCCGCATCGCCGAGACTCCCATTCCCATTCCCAGTCCGAGCCACCGAAAGACAGTCGCTGGCGCCGCCGTGTCGAGCAGGCCTTGACGAAAATGACGGCTGAGATTGCTGCTATGCGCGAGCAGATGGAAGCTCGCTCTGTTGCGCAGCGTCGTCGGTCTGGTGTATGGGCGTGGCTGAAGTGGGTGGTTTGGGTTGCGGTAAGGCAGATCGTGGTTGATATTGCTATGCTGGGCATGCTGCTTATCTGGATGCGGTTGAGGGGGGATCGTCGTGTCGAGCAGCGGCTTAAGATGGGTTGGGCGGCTGTTAAGGCGAGACTTGGGAAGTTGAAGCGTTTGAAGATCGTGGATATGCCTATCCTGCCATAGGGGCTCTAGTATATGGCTGTCGTCATGGGCTATTTCTTTTCTCTTCTTTTTTCCCAGGCCTTTACCTCCTTACTGCATTTTCTTTTTCCCTCATTGGCATTTTTTCTTGGCTATTCCTCCACCCTGTTCATCGGCCTTGGTGTTCTCTTTTACTTTCTTGTGTCTATTTTTCCTTTTCTTTTGTCCAGTATATATGGGTTTCAATTTCAGGTTTCTGGAGTCCTTCCTCTCCTATTTTTTTTTTCTTCGGCTTTCTTTTCTTGTGGTGTGTGATGCATGTTCTGCCTTATGGTGGCAGGTTAATTATATCGAGTCATTGATAGATGCAGACAGACATCAGCCTAGATGATATATTTGCTATCGTTTGGTGGAAGGACTTAGATCAGGCTTAGATGATCATGTATACCATTTCTCATTCCCATTCTGTTCTGATTTAATTTAGCATGCCTATTTGCCCTATTAGAAATCATGGGAATTTAGCCCATCATTTGTGATATTGGTCTTTTCTTTCATTTAGGGATTATGTAGATTTGATAACAATCCAAAGCCGTAAGAAATAACAACCTAATGATCAGCTTCGATATCTATCGCCAGTAACTCCTCGACATATATCATGTAGTGATAATTAAGATAATTAAAAAAAACCCCTTAGCAATGCCTCCTACCATAAGCCCAATACTACTGCTGTTTTCAAGACCAGTCCAAATTCCAAGATGTGTCGTATGCGAAAGCTGTGGCACCAGTTGAAATGAAAGGCGTAGCTGGACCATCTGTTGTCACTGTGCAACTGTAGTCGTTGATTGGGTATAAACCATAGCTAGTGCCATAGCTATATAGGCTTCTAGGACCGTCGCAACAAGCACTAGATACCGATGGAGAAACTTCCGAGCTCGGCACAGTCAAAGCCAAACTCTCATGCTGAACCGGCATCGCTGTCGCAGCCACTATAGTAGCAACCAAAGCCACAAACACAATCACAAACGGAATCCTCCCCAACACCAAAAGAGCCGAAGCTGCAGAAACAGAAACTGCATCCGGAGAATCTGCAGGTGGAGTCGGAGAAGGCGGCGGATGGCGTGAAACCGTATTATTGGCAAAGTCGGTACCAACCCAGGCATTCCAGTTCTGGACATCATCCAGACAGGAGTCAGAGATAGAAGCACCCCTCATCTCAGCAATTGTCTCTCCCCGACGAGACACGGTCACCACAACCTGCCCAGTATTACCATCGAACGGCACGCTGCCATGATAAAGACCGATAGGCCCGTGTGGTTTATTCTTCCACTTCCCTTCCTGCACAGTCCCCCCAATATCAACCGACACTTCCACATCCTGGGAAGTCCTCAAAAGCGCAGAGTAGAACACCTCGTCTTGCAAGACATCCGTAGGCGGGAACTCCTTCTGACCATGCGTTTTTGTGTTGCCCGTAGTTCCACCATCCTTACAAGCATTCCCAGGCGCCTGACGGAACCAAGCAGTGACGCCCTCGGTAGTAACATTCGCCCTGGCACCCTTGTAGACATCTATAATGAAAGGCAAGAAATCACGCCAGCCGTCGTGGGGGTGACCGGCAGCATAGTTGTAGCTCGCATCACCGATGTCGAAGGTCGCATATGCACCCTCATGTAGCGGGCCGATATAGTGCGATTCACCGTAGTCGTTCCACGAGATGATCTCCACAAACTCTGGCTTCAGAGATAAAACCTGCTGCCACCTGTCGTACCATAGGTTATCTCCATTCCAGACCCAGTTCTTTCCGTATCCCGGGAGGTTCGTGTAGAACCACGGCGAGACGGGCATCATATACGGCAGGTCGCCTGTATCCTTGAGCCATTGCATGTATGTTGAGTCTACATATGTGTTTATCGGGTCTGGGCCTTCTGGCCAGGCAGCCCAGGAGAATAGTCCATCTGGGACGCCTGGGGCTACGGCGAGGGCTTCCTTCGCGCCTAGGGCGGACCACCCAGGGACGAAGAAGCAGTCTGTGTACTTTTTGATGGTGCCCCAGTCTGTGGCATTGGAGGACCCTTCGAAGGTTGAGACGAAGGGTTTGCCCTTGTGTTGGTAGTAGGCTTTGTTGTTTCCGTATTTTCGGAGTAGACCGATCACCTCGCCTTCTGGCCAGGCGCCGTTGCCTACGTAGTCAAATGAGAAAAGGAGTTGGAAGTCTAGGGTGTTTGCGGCGGTGAATGCGTTTGCTAGCGAGCGGTTGTTTGTTGGGAAGTTGTATGCGATGTTTAGGGCAAAGGCGTCGATGTGTGCCTTTTGCGCTTCGGCAATGTTGATTTCCCAGTCGTATACTGTGAAGTTCTCTGAGTTGTATACCTGAATTGGTAGAGGTCAGCAGAGATATAGATCGTAGTTCAAGGGCTTTACCATGAAGTGGGCGAACACGGCCGCTGCTTGGACGTGGTAGACGCCTCGCCATAATGATAGAATCAAGAGTATTGTCCACTTCATGTCAACCTGCGTGTGTGGTTCAGACTATAGAGGCAAGTAGGACATAAATATGGAGGTTCATTAGAGAAATAATGGCGGCTTTTGTACAAATTATGTATGTATTTGTTTCCTGTTGCACATGCACGGAATTCGATGGAGAGTTTGATACCTGCATCTATCCCTCTCGAGATGTCTATAGATAGATGCCGGAGATCCGCTATTCGTACATCGGGATCTAAGCGTACTCTTGGCCTGTCTCTCTCTCTTTGTACTTTCCCATACCTTGGATCATGATACTCGGGTTTCATACTTGCTTTCTATCTTCCGAGATAACTCGAATACACTTCAATGACTATATGTAACCAATGCTGCTGATATATGCCGTGACAAGTCTACTATCGAACCTCGATAAATAGTTACCTAGATACATATATGTATGTTTCGGATTATCTCAAAGACATACTAGGTTACACTAGATAGTAAGTCGGAAGGCCGGAATTAGGGCTCAATTACACACATCGACCAGCAGCCCAAACCTTGCAATTGAGTCAGGTGAAGGATAATGAGAATTATGGATTCCTTCGGATTACTCCATATAGAATGTAACAATCTCTCATTTTAGTTCAGGCTCTGCAGCACGGTTGAAGCTAAGCCTTTGTATCAGCCCGGAAAAGTGTCCAGTCTAGATCGGTATTCTGACAGAGAAATTATCATTCGATCAAGTCTGCTCAAATATTTTTGCTAAGATAGTAGGGCTTGAGACACACAAGATGATATTATCCATGGATATGTTTAGTAGTGATTGAAGAACTTGCAGACAGTAGACTCGCCAGTATGCATACCCCACCTATCCTTTATGTTTCACACAGCAGTACCTACATTTAGACTATCACCAACCCCCTAAAGTAGAATTTAATATTGGCTTCCAGTTGTGGAGGATGGGTAGATTCACACAGGCCCCCAGAACAAGAACCGACCATACCCGGTAGTTATTAGTTGGACAGAGCCAAAGATCGGAAGGGAAACGTAGCTGGGACATATTATATACACGGTGAGACTCTGCGGTGCATAGGTGAGACTGAGAGATAGCCAGTGTATGGCTTCCCCGCCGAGAAATGTCAGTGATACCCCAAGATGTAATGTGCCTAGCTTGTTGACTGCAATGGTTACCTACATATGCAACAAGCCGAGGATGTATTCGAGCTAGCGGTCAGCATTTGAGTCCGTACTACTACCAACTCGAGACCATGCCATTGCGAATTGCAGTGTGTTGGAAAATATATTGCCCCATGCATGCCATGCGAGCAAGGAGATTTGGAGATTGAACAGAAAATCATGTAACCATTCATGATGCCAATAGATATTTACACAAACATAGACCTGATTTACGGTCGAGCATCCAAATAAAACAGTGATATAGAAAAAAGACGGTGCCCAGATTATGAGATGGAAGGATGGGGGTGCAATCAGGGCGAGTCTAGAGAGGACAAAGCAAACCAGGAAAGTGTTTACCACTGGGGACCGGGGTACTGTGCGTATTTTTGCTTGGGGCGCAAGTGAACAGGAACCTGGTTCTCGGGAGCTCCAGGAAGGGTCTTCTTCAAGCCCTGCAAGAAAAAGGAGAGTATATGTTAGCTTTAGTCCGGGGTGATGGCGGATGCGATGGATGCGATGGAATTGGGATGATTGAGAGCAAGATGGAGTATATCATACCAATTTATCGAAGACACAGGTGTTGAGACTCATCTCAGCCCTGCGGCATTCCCAGAGCTGGTGGTTGTTGTTCTCGAGACACTCCCAGTGGGCCTTGAACTGGTCGAAGCAGTGGGTGTTGATGTCCTTGATGCTGTGACGGGTCAATATCTCCTTCTCAACTCAAAGGTGAACTACAAAAGCAACATACACACTAGCGGCACAGCGCGTCACCTTCCGGCCCTCCTTCAAGCAGTCGATCTCCCCGCGGCCATTGGCCTCGTCCTTGCACTTCATGAAGTCGTCATTGAAGGCCTTGCAGCGGTCTCCAATAAAATAAGCTGCACTCATCAGGGGTGCAGATGTGGCACCGATCTCCTCAACCTTGGGGATGTGATCGGGCATGGGCGTGGTGTCCACCAGGACAGTCTGGCTGAAGCTGTGCGCGGAGGGAGAAAGGTTAGCGTCTTACATTGAAGTCAACATAGAGGGAGCGATTGAAATCAATGTGCATACCGAGCATCTCTTTGGGCCATGGCGACGGTGGCTTGTCAGGACGACTGTGAGGGGAAAGAGGTGCAATTGAGACGAGACTTGGAGATCGAGAGCTGCGGGTTGCGGTGGAATGAAATTTGGCTCGTCGGTGATTGGCTAATTAGATCCTGCTTAGGTCAGCGTAACATGCTGCCCACCCAGGTGCGGTGCTGGGATGATCGTGTAGTATGACTGTTATCTTTGTTTACTGAGATATATCAATGAGAAAAAAAAGCCATTAAGACAATAGCACAGAACAACAGAGCAATATTAGTTCACTACTTATTCAGGTCTTCCTTTCAATATACGCTTAAGCTGTTTGCGAACAATGGTTCATCACGTGATCTAAACAAATCGAGCTCCGGCTCTCATCTTTCTCGGCCTTCGAGCTCCATCGAGGAACCCCTCAGCTTTCTCACCTTCGACTGACAACCTCCAATCTCTGGACTATGTGCCTTGGACTTGTTTCTATTTCCCTTCAGCGCTCCTAATCTGGCTGCGCCAGTGTTCATTGATCCATTGACGCGATCCCTCTTTTTATCGTACTTTTTTTTTGTGCCTTTCTGATTGCCCGTCATGTCTCTCTTTGGCGGAAACCAGCCCCAGGCCAACACCTCCATGTTCGGCAACACTGCACCAAAGCCGTCTCCCTTTGGCGCCCCGGCAACCACAACCCAGTCCAACACTAACTCACTGTTTGGCGGAGGGCAGACCCAACAGCCAGCATCGACAACAACCGGTGCATTTGGCGCAAGTGCATTCGGCGCAAATGCCGCACCCCAACAGCAAGCAGGATCGATGTTTGGAAATCCACAGAAGGCCCAGAACTCCTTCGGCTCAAGTGCCTTTGGGCAGCAGCCGCAGCAACAGCAAGGAAACGCATTCGGCTCCTCGCTACAGCAGCCGCAGGGTAGTCTCTTCTCCGGAGGCCAGCAGCAAACACAGCAAACTGGGGGTGGATTAGGAGGTCTCGGGGGTCTCGGTTCCAACACTCAACAACAAACAAATGCCTTCGGCCAGCAACAATCGCAATTCGGCCAGAACACGATGACAACACCACAGCCCCAGCAGCAACAGCCTTCTCTGTCGTCCAGCCTTTGGTCCCCCGGCCGTGCTATTACTGGGGGTGAGCTTATTGTGTAATCTTTCACCACTGTGCATTACTGACAGAACTTCTTTCTAGTGCACCGAACTGTTCCTATGCAAGTGGCCATCATCAAGGATAAGTGGGATCCACCCAGCCAAAGCTCGCCATTCCGAGCCTATCTGTACAACAATGTCGGCGAGGAGGCCGCACCTTTCTACCAACCGGGTCCCGAAGATGACGAGTCAAAATGGGAGGAGGCTTTGCGCAAGCGACCAGGTCCAGGATATGTCCCCGTGCTTGTAAAGGGCTTCTGGGACCTCGGTAAGCGCGCGCAGCGCCAACGCGACTTCCTCACTATGATGCAGTCGCGCCTGCATGAGATTAACAATTGCTTGACCGGGCTCCTCTCGAAGCACGACCTCAACCTTTCCGTCAAGATCGCCGACTGCCGACGTAAACACATTATTCTGAGCAAACGATGTCTCTCTCTTGCTGCCAAGACGCAGATCCTTCGCAATAGAGGGTATGCCATGGATGAAGCGGAGGAGCAGCTGAGGAAGAAGCTTGTTGAGTTGGAACGTGCCGTTTTCGACCCGTCTCTCAGCGGCCGCGCGGAAGAAATCTGGGCCCGCATGTTGGCCATCCACGAACACTCTAAGAGACTGCAAGTGGAAATGGATCGCGCCGGAGTAAATGTGACAGAACCAGAGGATGAAATGGACGAGCAGACATTGAAGACAGCAAAGAAGGTTGGTCACCTCCTGAACTAGTAAACTCTCATTGCTTGAAAAGCTCGCTAATCATATCTTTTAGATTCTGGATGATTACCACTCCCAGATTCAGCATCTCCAGAAGGAGATGGAGTCCATCAAGAAAGACTTCAGCGAGGTGGAGAAAGCGATTGGGAATTGAGTGTATTGCTCCATAACTTCCTACCTGCTATTTCGAATCTCAATTTATTCATATGTTTGGACTTAATGTCCACGGTCATAGGGGTACAGGCGTTCTTGGGGATCAGGCCATTGTAATGCATATCTGAATACAAACGTCTTTACTGAACACTACATTCCGCTTGGTCTTTTTCTGAGTAGATTTGCTCACCAGGTTGTGGAATAACAGTACTATCCTGGATGAGTCTCTCGTTCTGTTTTCAAGGACGTTTCTATTGAGTCTACCTCAAATTGATAGGCATGAACTCTCTGTTGTAGTATGTTTACCACTATTTTCTGGACGTTTGATTCGCCTAAAATCAATATCAAGTCCATATATTTCATGCCCTTCGGCGTTAGTTACCTGGAATGGACTAACGCCCGAGGGCATTCTCTCCTTTTTGATCTCTTGACGAAGGCTTGGTCTGTCGATCGTTCTCGGCCTAGATCGTTGGTTTTTTTTTGACTTGCCTACTCCATCTCTGTTACCAGAGCACAAACATCTGATCTAGACGTCTCTCTATCATGCTTCTCTTCACAACATCAATGATTCCAAGATAGCAGCACTTACTCGAACTGTCCCTCAAAAGGCTTCACCAAATTCCCTGCTTATGCCGTAGAACAATGTAGGTGTGATCTCGAATAATGGACGTCTTCGCTGGAGGATTCGCGTTCTTATATCATGTATGTTTTCACTGTTCCATACAAGACGAATAATCTGAATTGTTGTGATCATATTCTATTCCCTGCCTAGAAAATCAAATTGTAGTTTGGCTGTTTTGAGTTAGGTTACTGGTTTAGGGACCTTCACAACAACCGGCCTATGATCTCTGTCCACGGATGCTAGAAGGGTTAACACACACTGATTCTTATGAATAGTTGGCCGCTTATACTGCATTGTAATTTACATTGAGTGGTCATTTTGGTAGTCATTTGGTAGTATTCTCCACCTTTTTCTATGTATAAGAAATGGCAAGTGATACGGACCTTATTTATAGCCTTTACACGCTATCTAGGATTAGTAGGGTTATATTGAAACCGCCAGGCTACTTACTATTTTCTGCCTGGCAAACACTGGTTGTCATGATGGTCCCTAAAAACCCTCTTATCATGCATGGCTCTGATCTTGTAGCAACTTATGACATCTCTAAACGTTGGATATTTACGGTTTCTGTTTCTACCATGCAGTACAAACAACGCAAAGAAAGATATTCTTGGTTAACGGACTATAGCTATGAGTCGAAGAAGGAGATCAATAACACTGTATAATCCGAGGATACACCGTACAACATACACTAATCACATCTTGTTGCGAGTTACACAACATCTTAGATCTCTAGTACCACCGAGTACTACTTTGAAACCAGCTAGAGTTTTGTTGTATATTCAAACATAGGAAGTTATGCATAAAATATGAAGAAGCGTGCGTTACGCTGACACGAGACATAAATCGATATCGTCATCCTCGAGAGTCACATATCAAATCAGGCCTGAAATGCTAGCTGTGAAACATCAGGTCTTGGTATAAATGATACCACATGTCAAATATACCATAGAATACTCCTTCACTCTGCCTGTGGGCTCATTACTCACCCGTCAACCTGGCAAGACGTAGATTGCAAAACTGATATATTGCAATTTCTTATTTTGATTTGCTCTATATCTCACAAAACACAAACGATAACAACCAAATGCACAATAGTAATACATCACCCAACCGACACTATCCAGCAGACCAAAAAGTTATAGTAGATGAGCTTCAAGAGCTTTCCATAGATTAGGTGCCCATGCTCGATCTTGTCCAATTGTGGCTGGAAAAAAAGTATGCCAATGGTGAAAAAAAAATCATCCAATTCTTCTGCATGTCATCGCGAAATCATAACCAGCAATTCGTCGATTACAGTCCGGGAAGGGCAAGAAAGAGAGCGGAAGACGGGTCAACCGGCTTAAAGGAACTTGCGGACGAATTCGACGGCGAAGGGAGCTATGTATTGGATAACCATGTTAGTTTTCAATCCACTGAACTCTTTTCTGACTCATCTCAGGTTTGTCTGCTCTTTCGAGGCTTTGCGGACCAGATACTCGACTTACACAAGTAGAGGAGGAAACCACCGGCAATAGCCATCTGGATGGTCTGGCTGGCCTCAATCTCACCAGCCTGTAAAATATGTTAGTATCGGATGCCACTTGGGGCAAAGGTCATGGCGTGAGGCTGACCTTGATCTCTTCCTTAGAGATCTGTTCTTGGCCTTAACAGAATTATATCGTCAACTCGGGCTTGGCGGAGCAAAGAGGCATGGGATTGGGACATACCTGGGGCAAACATTTTGAATGTGATAAAGAATAAAAAGTGGAAAATGAGTTCAGATAATAGATGTTGTGAGAGTTGAATGTTGCGAAGATGTGCTTAGGTCGGACTGGAGAAATAAATCACGCGAGCACAGACCACCGCTCTCCTTGACTTCTTGAGGTTTTGCCTTCACTACCCTCTCCTCATCCCACCTGAATTCTGTCGACTTAATTTTGTGAGAAGCTTTTGCTCCGCTTCTCTTTCTAACCCCTACCTCCACATCCTATCTGAATTGCTTGGATCTGCAGAGCATTGATTGATTTTGCGGAGAGGCGTCGGGATCACCTACGCAGATAACGTACCGTGACTTCTTTGCGATACTTCCGCTGACTGATCTCTACATCTTCTCACCTTTGTTCTTAACCCATCTCTTTACATTTGCCACCATCTGAACCGCCATGTCTGCTTCGCCAGACCGCAAGGCTGCCTCGCCCGCTGCCTCCCCCGAGCCCGAAGTCCACGAGCAAGTCGCAACCCCGGTTGCTAGTGACGATAATGAGCGCCAGAACTCCACCGAACCTACTTCTGGGAGCAAGGAAGTGGTAGAGAACGATGAGGATGAGCCACGTGATGAAGATGACGACGAAGTTGATGACGACAAGCTTTCAGACGACGAGTCTATTTTGTCCGAGGTTGACGAGGCACAATTCGACAACTTCGACCCAGAGAATGTTGACGTCGAGGACCGCCCACAACTTGCTATTGATGAAGATAACCTGAAGCTCATTGGTCGTCACAAGCGCAAGCGCACTGAGGATGGCGAAACTCGTCCGCGCCGGAAGGAAGGTCGTCGCGAGAAGAAGAGTCGCCGAGCTGAGGAGGGAGGCGATGAAGGAGGCCCATCTCGCCGACGTGAGCGCAAGCAGCGCGAGGATAAGCCCGAAACAGATGAGGAGACTCTTGACCCGGAGACCCGTATGTTCTGCTCTTTACTGGCAACTGGTTTTCCGCTCCATACAGTTTGTACTAACTGGGTTTCAATCATCAGGACGTCGCCGAGCCCTTGATCGCGCTATGGATGAAGCGATGAAGAAGCCAGCGAAGAGACGTTTCCGCAAGCAGGATGGCATTGTATGTTTTGCGCCGAGTGACACGTACTCACCTACGTTTACTAACTGTCTTAGGATTTGGAATCTATGGCAGATGCTGAAATCGAGGATATGCGCAAGCGCATGACCCACGCAGCGCAAATGGATGCAATCAATCGCCAAGAAGGAAAACCAGCTATGCACAAGCTCAAGCTCCTCCCCGAAGTCATCATGCTCCTCAACCGCAACCAGTACACCAGCGCCTTGGTCGACCCAGAGATCAACCTATTGGAAGCCGTTCGATTCTTCCTCGAGCCCCTGGACGATGGCGCGATGCCCGCCTACAACATCCAGCGCGACCTATTGACCGCCCTTACCAAGCTTCCTATCAACAAGGATGCTTTGATCGCCAGTGGCATTGGAAAAGTGGTTGTCTTCTACACCAAGAGCAAGCGCACCGAGCGTCGCATCAAGGAGATGGCAGAGAAGTTGCTGGCGGAGTGGACACGACCAATTCTCCAGCGCAGCGACGATTATTCGAAGCGAGTCTACCAGGAGGCCGATTATGATCCTACGTATGTTCACTGCTATACACTCCCGTTATCACTCACTAATGCCCCTATAGGAAAGTTGTCAGACGCGCTCCTCCCACCGCCGAGGAGATCGAAGCCGAAGCCCGCGCCCTCGCGATGCTCCCTCCCCGCCTCCTCAACCGTGCTCGTGTCGATCGTACCAACGTCAGCTATACTGTTGTTCCGCGCCAGACAGCTGTGCGCGAGACTCAGTTTGCGCGCCCCTTGGGTTCCAGTGGCGAGGATCGTTTCCGCAAGATGCAAGCCCGCCAGGCTGCGGCACGCAAGGCGTCTCGTCGATAAATTCGGCTGTAAATTATTATTTTTCCAACCTGGCTTTGGCCACTTTCGTTATGTGAAATAATTTTGCGGTGTTTGGGGGCGTTTCGGGATCAATCGGGGATTGAATAGGGATTTGGGAGTGTGACACCTTCACATTCCGATGAAATAAGCAGCAGAATAAGCAGCAGAGTCTTTCCAAGGTTACTAAATTAACGTCATATGGAAACAACCAAAGTACATCCAATTAAATTCTCAATATGTGTTAGATATATAGAATAACCCCCCAAAGGTTCGATCCGGCAAGTCTCTTCCGTGCAGGACCGAGTCATCGCCGGGGGGCCAACCCGGAAAAAGAGCAGATCCCGCTAACCCACGTCATGCGATCCGGCCTTTGCTTTTTTGGTTTTATATCGAACACTTTCACCTTCTTCCTCCATTTCAATTCAAAGAATATACACAACCTCACACAATGAAACTCCTTACTAAAGAACAAGAAGAAGCTCACTACAGGTACACAATCCCTACACCCTCCAATTCCCTATCATCAGCCCATACTGATAAGAACCCCCCAAATAGCTCCGTCGTCAGAGGCGGCACAGTCGGTGGCCTCCTAGGTCTCGCCGGCGGCTTCGCAGGTGTCCTACTCGCCTCACGTCGCTACCACACAATCCGCAACCTCACCGTCCCAATGAAAGCCTTCCTGGTGACGTCTTCCGGTACCTTCACTGGTATCATCGCCGCCGACCACGCCTCGCGCGAGTACGAGAATGAGCAAAACGCCGCATACCAATGGTATGAGAATCGCGAAGAGCGTCTCCGCGCCGAAGAGGTCCGCGGTCTCAGCTTCGTCGACCGCGCCTCTGCCTTCGCCCGTCGCGAGAAATACAAAATCATTACCGCCACCTGGATCGCATCCATGGTTGGCTCGTTCGCGCTCGTTGGTCGCATCCCCGGTCTCACTGGCCAGCAGAAGCTTGTCCAGGCTCGTGTCTACGCACAGGGTCTGACGCTCGGTGTGCTTTGTGCTTCGGCTGCATTCGAGATCTCGGATCAGCGTCGTGGCAAGGGTCTGCTGGACTCAAAGAAGAAGGCTGATGCGGCCAAGAATAAGGTCGAGGAAGTTGAAGAGCAGCCTGTTCACCATGGTGGTAATAGTAAGGAAGGCGATCTGTGGAAGGATATGGTTGCTGCCGAGGAGGAGCGCCTCAGCTCCAAGCACCAGTCTCTCTATGAACATGAACATGGACACAAGCAGCAGGAGTCAAAGTCCGAGGAGAGTGATGATGAAAAGGACTCCAAGACCAAAAACAAGACCAAGAGCTCCTAGATATCACTCTCTTCCTTCTTGCTCCCTCCCCACCACCGCCTTTGACCAACGTCTACTGCAGACATCGCCGCCCACTTTCTTTCTATTTCCTCAAGAGCCGGAAATCTCTATTGGACAAGAATAATAAATGAGAGGAGCGGCTGACATTGCTTGGCCTTCGTTGCCCGTACATATCCTACGATCTCTTAAGCGTTTGTCTTCTTGTCCATGTCTCGAGGGTTTTCCCCTAAAAGTGACATTTGTTTTACAATTTCAAGGTGTATGATAATACTATACAGGCTGTGCCCTCTCTATTTCTCTACTTTAATGGAAATGAATCAGAAAATTGCCCCGATACTCAATGACGTCATCAAATGTTACAAGTACTAGGTACATTAGGTAGCAAATTCAAGTACATACGATAAATTTAAGTAATGGATTTGAGTAGTAAATTAAGCGGTATATCCAACCAGTAAGATTATCAAGAGTGAGGCTAAAGTTGTATGAGTTATAGATAGAGAACCCGTTCTATCTTGAGTCCCTCTTTAGGCTACTGCCGCTTTTAGAAGTAATTGTCCCCATCCTCCGGTTTATGTTCATTATTTCTCCCCCTGACAAACCAAGGCCTATTGCTCCCGCCGACTATGGCCGACGAATAATTATCGGACGCAAATCCAGCTGAAACGATACGTGGAACGATTTCTCACTCAAGCGGAGTCTGCTAATCGGCGATTCAATCGGCGATTCCTTCCTTTCCTTCTTTCTTTCTAAATTCTCCTATAGTCTGGACTACACAATGAGTCCAAGCACGAGTGGTTCTGCTTCTCGGCGTGCTATCCTTATAAATAGATATCCGTGACTTTCAGGCTGCGGCGGTGTTCGTCCACTTTGTGGTACATATATATTCTGAGAATGGAAGACGATCCTAATGCGAGCCTATTGTTATATATCAGACTTATAGTATTGCACTAAGGGCTATATCTAACCTTGAAGCAGAGCGGTACTAATATAATAAAGCGTTATATAACCTTATGTAAAAAATATTAATGCAGGGACAGTGAATCGTTCACTTGCACGATGTCTTTTAGTATCTCCAGTAAGAGAATGATTAAACTTTTATATACAATATTTGTTTTTTTTTTACTTGAACTGGCTTAAAGGTTGAGAGGTTACAATTTTGGCTATAAGTATTTTTTGTATAGACTTGCTATACAAAATACACCTAAAGCTTGCTGTTTATGACCAGGTGCGAATTTGTTATCCGCTGGGGCCCACTAACACCTGGTATGTGATACATATAAACAATAGTGGGTCCCAGCATTTCTAGATCTCCTTCAAACCTGTCCGACATCTTCATTTCCTTTCTTGATCCTCTTCTTCCGATGGTTCCCAAGCGAGTAATCCTACGCCTGCAAGAAAGCAATTTTCCACGCATGTCCTACTCGGATATCGTCGAATGTGTGAAATGTTTCCTTGCATACAGTGGACGCCTTCCTGAGGAGACTGAACAAGGCTGGCATTTCTGGCATCTCCAACCTCCGAGTCCTGTGACGCCTCAAGCAAACCCGAGATTTCACATCATAATCGACATTAATAGGATGGAACATTCGGGTCCCTTGGACGAGCAGTTTCCTCATGAGATTTACCGGGTCTCGAGAGTCGAGAATGAAATGTAAGCTGGATCCTCACGCGCGGACGTTACATATTCCGCATGCTGACTACCGCATTTATGGACGGATTATTCCTTTCAAAAGAAAGCAAGAACATGATAATTTCTTGCGCAAGCTTCGACATTTTTCCGATGACTTCTATCCTTGGGGCGAGGAAAAACGGCGCGCTGTGAGCGGCAGTAGCGCTTAGACAAGCCATCTTTCAATGCGGTGAAATTAAGCAGGAAATTGTTGACTAGGAATTGTGGGGCAGATGCAGGCAATAAAAAGACCATGGGAAACAAAATTGTTTTCAGTCAGTCAATCCTGGCGATAGATTGAGGGCAAAGGAAACTTGAACCCAGTCAGTCCGTTTGTGTCTGTGAAGTATTGCTATAAAGAGGGCCCAATCTCGGGTTTTCCAAAAATGGCATTGTATTAGCTTTGGGCAAGACATAAGAATCCACAGGACTACAACATGTTCATGTAATTTGTAGTTTGTTCAGAAGTGCGGGTGCTGTTGTACTCCGTGCAATGCTGTATTCGTGATTTACCCACATTCGAGGCTAAGCCGCCTGGGGCCATGATAAACTCAAGCCTCTGGTTGGCCTGTGACCGGCGGGATTAGGAGCACCAAGCGGATGTATCTATAGTCTTCTAGTCAGACATATCCTACATCTATAGCGCAAAGAGCGGCTCAACTTACCTTGGCTTGCTCGGGAACTGTTGCATAAACCCATTGTCTATAAAAGCGTCCCTGGCGGTAAAATATAAGTACCAAGAGCTTAAACATTAGCTTTTCGTTTTTGAGCTCATCCGAGCTCAATGGAGCATCGAAGGTTTCGACGAATCTTTTATCGAATGATTCCCAACAAATAAAAACACACCAACGTGCGCCCTCACTCGCACGTCTGGAGGTGAAATACTCCACAAATTGTCGTCCAAATACATGACCAATATCGCCATTCTCTCTCTCATCAACTCCTGGTGGAGGCAATTGGATGCCGTTAGGATGGCGTCGCCTGCGCCGCTGGAGAACGTACTCACTACTAGGAATAATCTCTCATGCGGAGAGAACGGCTGGTTCCGGAGACGCAGGTAGAATATGTTCCGTAATGTGGTTATCGTACATTCAATCCAATCGAATACTCATATTACTAGTTACTAAAACTACTTCATATACTGTAATGCATGCAGACAGCGAGGCAGACTGCAAGATAGACAGCGAGCTAGACAGCAAGACAGATAACGATCTAGACAGGAAGGCAGACAGGGAGGCAGATAGATAATGGGGCGGAGCTCAGCACATGAGGTTGCATTAGTGCAAGGCTCAGCATTATTTCCAATATTTGCAATGACATTTCCTGCCTTCAGTTGATTCGCTCTTTGGTTTTCAATATATGAATCCGTGTGGTCTCAAAGAGCTGCCACGTTGGTAAATTTTAATTAGATTGCTCTACTACAGTTGCTGAGAAGTTTTGGCCGAGTCGGTTAAAAGGTACGTATGTACTCCGTAGACGCAGCAACTTGCTAACACCTTTGAGACACACGCCAATCCCAATAACTTTATTTATGCTTTCCACCAGCCATATAAGCGACTCTAGTGTTTTGAGGCTCAGGCGTCTAAAGGTGTATTGTGACAATATCGCCATATGATCAGTGAGGCTATCCATAGACATTTGTCATAACTAAGAGCTCAGCCTCCAAGGTGTTGGCTATCATATCCCCCGCTTATTGACCTGTCTTCCTACGCCATCTGCACGCTGCAATGACGTGTCTCATATCGACTGGTGAATATTTAGTTTTAGTAGTTTCTCCGAACAACCTTGGAAGTCCTAGGCTTCTGCCACAGCAGGCGCTTAATCTGTGTTAGGCATCCGTGCATGGGTACTGAGCCGTCTCGGAAAAGCCTCATGGCAAGGCATACTGGACGAGGTGTAATATTATTTAATCAGTGGCATGGAAGACTTCATAGGATTCAAAATTGCTTATGATTTTGTCTCCATCATGGAGAACTCCGATTACTTTCTACGTTTTCCGACTTTCAAAAGAGCCCCTTCTGTATCCGCAAATGTCGAATTTGCCCGCCTTGCAAATCAAATGAATTGGAAGAAAGATTCCAAAGTATATAAACAGGAAAGGGCAAAGTTTCTCGTTGCCGAATTCAATGTACATTATGGAGCCGATCCTACGAAGTTGGAAAACTGGCAGGCGCTATGTATCGAGCTGGACATTTCTGAACCCATCGAAAGCATTACAAAATGCCGCAAGGTGAATGGATTATCCGATTCGTCTCCAGCTTCCTCAATGCTAATTAAAAAAAAAGGCATTGGCCAAAGTTCACGTAAACTTGGTTGATTTGGTTGACGCGCGCAGAACGGGCAAAAAAGTCAAGCATTTCTCCAGTGCCACTGCTCTAAGAACCTATACCAGAGCAACGGAGAAAATTTTTCCCAAATCAGCTGCCAAAGCAGATGGCTTTTTGAAGGCATTGTTGCGAGCTATCTACTGAGGAATCAATCTTCAACGGCTGCAGTAATGACAATGCCGTGAATCATTTGCAACCAAATGGGCTGTCGGCAACTTCAATTGCATATTTTAGCACTAAAGAGTCTCGGTGACAAAGTGTCTCATGTTGTCTATTTCTATCTGTTATATAAGGTCAATCACAAGAACTGAAAAATTTCAGTATTTCTTCATACAAGCAAGACGAATGAACACTCCAAACCAGTAATTCCCTCAATACCTCGATTGCTGCTCTAATCACCGTAGTAAGTATAGCTGTGATATCTCGTTTCCCCTCCTTTTTTGCAACATCTAGGACACCATTGCCGTTGCAATCTCGAATGGCAACGTCCAACTTCAAGATCTAGATGAGGCTTCCGCACGACCTATAATCTAGATCGACATAAAAATTAACCTAGGTAAGCCGCTAGGAAACCTAAATTTAGTATAAATTATAGTATAAAGGTTTATACCTGGCCGTGTCCGCTATTCCAGTAAACAAACGTCGTCTAAATAGTTTATGCTTTCCGCCCCCTTCGTGTGCAGACATCCAAAAAGAACATCGGAGGGTTCTTACATGTAGCCTCCCAAATGTCATTTTGGGCCAATATACTTATGTTCTCGATGGCAGAGTGGCCAACTATTTTCTGTAGTAATATACATAGGTATTTGAGGGCTATGGTGTAATATGGGCAGTGTAGCAGAACATAATGGGCATGGAAAAAGAAATGCCAGATCGATGACAACAGACCTATTCTCAGCTGTATTTCTTTGATTAACGACTTAGAAAGTCTCATCCTCCAGGCGCTCCATGCGGCGGATCACACTTGGACTTTGGTCTTCATCATCTGTAATATCACCAGCTCCAGCCGTAGCCAGTAAATCGGTCACGATGCGTTTAGAAGCCTCTCTTGCTACCAGGGCGAAGGAAGTTAGTACGAATGTGGTATCAAATAGCAAAGGGAACACATCTTACCAGGCGTTCTCATCAGCCGGCTCTGCGGAATGTGGAACTGCATTGTCTTAGGAGGACTTGGCCCGAGGTCCTCATCGTCGTCATCAAAATCGTCGTCGCTATCCCACATAGCAGACTTGCCCGCAGACTTCTTAGCAGGCGTCAGAACACTGATGCCAGGTCTGGGAATACCGCCCATGCGATTGCTGCTAGTCCGTCGCTTGCGGTTCGTGCCCGGAGTATCATTGATGCCTTTGATGGGCGATGAGAAAATCTCCGAGTGGAGTTGTGGTACCTCAGGCTCCGGGCTGGAAATTGGTGAGTCGTCATATCCATACTTGGATGCAGCCTCGGCTGGCTTCGGTGTGGTGACGTTGAACTTGGATCGAGTGTTCGTACCCCCACCCACATTCCGGAATCCCTTGCCGAGGGGCGTGGCTTGCACCCGGTATGTCTTGTCGAGCATTTGGTGTAGTACCGGGTCCGAGGTCTTCTGGTATCGACGGTCTTGGGTTTGCTGTAACGCGGGCGGGAGGAATGGTGATGACATCGGGGTTGTGGCGGAGACGCCGCGTGGGAAGAAGAGCTGTCGGCCTGGTGTAGATGGGAGGGTCGAGGATTCGGGGAGGTCGAAGGGTGGTTCGGATTCGTTGACTTGTCTTCTTAGGTTTTCGTAAGAGGACGAGTACTCCATTGAGGAGGCTGTCATGTCTTCGTCGGGCTCGTAGTGGTGGCCTGGAGCACGTGGAGTGCTGTGGGAAGATATTGCGAGATCTGTTAGATCAAGGTCATCTGCCTGATCACGGCGGGGTGTTTCATGGTGTTGGGAAGAGGGCGTCTCGTGGGACATGGTCTCGTCGAGGCTGGTGCTTTGGGTTATGTCGGCGGACAACTCTTCTTCTGTGGCTGTGGTGTCCTCCATCGTTTCTTCATCGGTGTTTCTTTCTTCATAGCCGGATAGAGATACGTTCGCGCTAGCTTCGAAGAATTGCTTCCAAAACTGTAGAAAGTTAGCAGAGCTGTCTATAGCTGCATGTGCTGGTGGCGCTGACCTTAGAACCTTCCCAGACATCTCGGGAATGCTCGGTATATTGCTCTACCAGAGGCAATATACTCGTAGTGACGATCCTATGAGCTTGACTGAAATTGTGGTCGATCTCTGTATAGACATGGTGATGAGCGGTCTGCTGGACTGTTTTGTTTACTTTTTTGCCCTACCTTGGAGTGTAAGGGTGATGGACTGTTCCAATTTCTCAAGCTCCTCGGTGAGGGACAATGGCCGTTGGGCTTGCGAAGGTTGGCGAGACATGATTGTATCATTCAATTTCAATTGTACAATTGAGTCAAGAGATGGGAGCTTGCAATCGCGTCTATCACTTTGAGACGCGCGGGGAACTTTGTCCAAAGCGGTGTGCATTTAGGGCCGGCGATAAGGGGTTATCGGATCACGTGCAATAATGTAAGGACGAGGCGCAGGCATCACCAATCAACTCTTTCCACTCACTCCATGGCATGACCAAGGTGAGTCTCAAAAACATCCACAAGGGAAGACACAATATTCGGGTTCATCATGCCAGCACCACTCGCAAAAGGTATGGCCTTTCACTTCCTGAACTTCGACGACGGCGTCCCGGATCATCCGGGCGGTGTACTCGTCCTTATCAGTTCCCCACTATGTATGTAGATGGTGAGGCTGACATCTCATGCAGGAATCATTATCACTGTTTCCGTGCTTGTAGCAGCCGGAATTGCAGTTTACGAGTCGCCACAGTTTCAGCAATGGGTGACCACCTCGCGGCGCAAGATCGCCTTAGCTCTGCACAAACTCGGCGATGAGGTCCAGCCTCAAGAGATACCATTGAGGCAAGATATTTCTATGACTGAGGAGACTGGCGACACTGCCGAAGAACGCAGACGGATTGCTCGTGCAGAGATTATGCGGCGAGGAGCGCTCCTTGAATCACGACGGAAGTCCAACCGGCCAGGCCGGCCTTCTAATAGCTTTGATGCTCTCGTCGACGACGAGGGCAACCTGCGTAAACAAAAAGATGACGAATATGATGCTCAGCCCAACACAGGATTTACTGCTAACTCAACGGGGGTTGACCTGGGCAATTCAGAGCCCCTCCGCCGAGGTGGGAAACAAATCGAGGCCGTGTCTTCGACTACGCTGGGTCGGAATCAGCTACATCTCGATATTCCCTCGTCCCCTATCTCGAACCATCCTTCCGAATCTATTATTCAGTTTACGCCCAGGTCTGAAGTACCCGAGGGAGGTCTCTTTGATCCGTTCTCTCCCAACTCTCCCTTATCTATCTCTGGCTCTAGTCACACAGAAGACCACCAGCCGGTATTTTATGCGCACCCCGATACACCAAGCAGCAGAACCTATGAACATGACCGTCTTGTTGAGCTAGGTGGTTTCGGTCACGGGAGTGTTCATTCTCATGATGATATTTCGGCCGCTCCTTCTACCGGTGGAAGTTTCAGCCATGTGGGAGGATTCGAGGATGAAACGTCAGATGATAGCCTTAGTGATCTTGGCGGGCGATCTGTCGGTGGTGTGGCTACTCCGGCATGGTCTGATGTGGATAGCGTAATTAGCAACGAGGATGCTGGACATCATCGGTTGCTCTAATGCACTCAAGAGTTCATGGATAAGATGAATGGATGTGCTTTACTCGCTCAGGGATCTCTCTAGTATGGTGTTCGGTGTTTGGATTTGGTTTTGCTTGGCTGCAATTTTTGTCGATGCGATACAAATTTAGGTACAGGGGGTTATGCGCTCTTCTAATTGAAGTACCAAGGGTTCCATTGAAATTAAAATGCTCCTAGAAATACCGCCGTAATCTGATCCTTCGAGAACGGATACTTCACATGCGATGTGGCATTGTCTATTTGCAATGACCAGTATAAAAAGAAGTTCAAGGGCAAAGCCCGATCTTTACTTTTCTGAGATCAACTCCCGTGTGTGGCTTTAAACCCGAATAGGGTATGCTAACAACACCCAGTTTAGATACCTGGTTCAGGGAAGTAAAAAAGCCTTTGATATTTTAGCATCGGACAACCTTTTAGCCTATATACAGCTTGTACCACTATTAGTTGGAATGCTCAGGATTTCCAGACCCCATCAAGTATACTTTATATATCACTACGTAATAGGTATGTACCGACAACTACATATACATACCTCGGGTTTGCTCCGATTTGCATAGAATCAATATCATTATGTAGAGAATTGGTTAGTTGATGTATTGAATTTAGCTTTTGCCCGGTCCTGTTCCACTGCGATTTTCACCAAACTCGCAGCAGAGCGTGCTTGCTCTGGCTGTTGATATGAAATTTAAAAGCCATGCTCTCGAAACTCACGGTCTGTCCATTGCCATAGCTCCTCCGCTTTGCCACTGTCGCGCATGATTGCCGTCCCGTTTGCTTCCTTGAAGAATGGGGTATAGTATGCACCGCTCTTGACTTTAGTAGGGTCGGCAGTGCTTGCCCACAGCTGGTTCAGCGTGCCTGTGGGAATATCAACCGCGGCCACTCTGTTGAATTGATTGAAGATGAAAGAAAAGATCGGGTTTGCTGTCATTCCATCACCGATGCTTGTCCGAACAAGTCCTGGGTGTAGTGCAATTGATTTGATGTTGGGATATCGTTTGGCGTAAGATTGTGTGAAGTATATGTTGGCAAGTTTCGATTGACCGTAGCGGGCCATAGTACTGATTTTGGTAAGGGGAGTCTTCACTTGACTGAGAAGAAGTCCCCCTTTCGGGGCCGATCGATATATCTCAGAGCTAATATTCACGATGCGAACGTCTTTCTTAGGGATACGAGCAGTTTTTTCAAGTAACGGTAGAAGCAGTCTGGTGAGCAGTGCTGAGCCCATGTAGTTCGTGCCAAATTGAATCTCGTAACCATCCTTGGTCAAACCTGGCGGGGAAGCAAACACTCCGGCATTGTTGATTAGGATATCGAGATGGTCATTTTCAGACAGAAATGCGTCCGCTGCAACGCTGATGGAGGAGAAGGAGGCGAGGTCCATTTCAAGAAGGACAATTTCTGCGGAAGGAACTTCTTTTTTGATATCAAGGATCGCTTCACGGGCTTTGTTGATGCTGCGGGCGCCCATGTATATTTTTTTGGGGTTGTGCTTCGCCAACTGTTTGATACATTCTTTTCCGAGACCGCTGTTTCCCCCAGTCACCAGAATAATTTTCCCAGATAGGTCAGGAATGTCTTTTTCAGGGTCAAAAGAATGACCAGTACCAAAGAGGAAGGACATCGAGGCGTCGTAAAGAAAGTAAAAACAAGTGAGCAAGATGTACTCTTTCTTATACCCAAAGTTACCATACCTTATATAGAAAATTGGATGACTAACTTCTGAATTTGATTATTCAACATCCCGTACCATGGAGCCTCGGGATCTACCCCGTCGGACGTTGGAGTTAGGCCGATCAGCTATTAAAGTAGATTTGCAAATTATTCTCCAACTAATTATTCTATTGTTTTGACTATCATAGCGAATCCTTGTGGCGAAAACTCATCCGTCTTCCTATTCTCTACTTGCCCATTTTCTGTTACGGTCAACCACGATGAAAGCTCTCGTGACAAACCGATCAATGCCGTGGCAGATGCTCAATTTGGCGTCCGGCTCTTCATTCGGTCAATGTGCCCGAGTCGCAGACATAGCATTTCCCACAATTACCGATGGGGAAATACTAGTCCAAGTGCGTTCTATCGCACTTAACCCTATCGACTTTAAAAACATCGACTTCTTGTCTCCAAACAAGAGTGTTATTGGCTGCGATTATGCTGGCGAGGTGGTCGAGGTTGGCAAAAACAAGGCGAACTCTTGGAAGATTGGGGACAGGGTAGCCGGCTTTGTGCACGGCGGTCAATATCCTGACGTCGGCTCGTTTGCAGAATACTTGAAGGTCGATGCGGAACTAGCCTGGAAGATACCCCATGGAGTGACAAATTCCGAGGCTACAACATACGGGATTCCAGCAGTCACTGCAATGCTTGCACTGGCTCGTCTTGGAATCCCCTGGGATGATGTCATCACGGGCTCAAAAACGAAATCGGCTGAAAACCTGCAAATATTGATTTACTCTGGTGCTTCTAATGTAGGGCTATTTACCATCCAACTTGCCAAAAGAGCGGGCCTTCATGTGGTAGTGACAGCATCACCACGGTCCTTTGATCTCGTCAAACGCTACGGTGCAGACTCTGTATTCGACTATCAAGCCCCGGCTGTAATCAGCGAGATATCCAAAGCCTATCCGGACATCACAAAAGCCGTGGACTGCTTTTCAGAAGGGAACTCGTCTCATTTCTGTGCCCAGGTATTGAAAAAAGGGCGAGTTATAACATTGCTTGACCAAGGAAAACCCAAAAAATCGGACATTGAGTACGAATTCCTCATGGTTTTTACTGCCTTTGGCCTCGAATTTTCTCTTCTCGCACCCTTAGGCCCGGCGTTTCCTATTGTGCCCAACGATCACAATCTTCTTCGTCAATTTTACGCTGATTTGGGCCAACTCTGTCATGATGTCGTGAGACCACCACCTATTACAACCATAAAAGGAGGGTTTGACGGGATATTGAACGGCCTTGACAAACTTCGCAAAGGCGAAGTTCGGGGAACAAAACTTGTGATAGATATTTCATGAATAGACTTTTATGGCCATTAGTTGTATTGCAGAATCTTCGACTAATAACATTTGAATGTATTTGACTGCCATCATACACTGTTGACTATTAACCATGCTAGATGTTGTTGACTCACCGGGTGGGACTAACTAGAGAGCTACGGTAGGACTAGACTGTAGAAGCGACGACAAGAGTTCCTCAGTGGATCTCGATTATCCATTCCTAGAATCCTGAAGTCTGATGGCTTTGCCGAAAAATACGGGTATTCAATGCACAGTGTTGTTTGGCTCTAGATTTGAGCTTGATTACAATTTATGTTAATGCGATATAAGGTATAGAGGGTCTATCTATGCTCTCTCGTAATCGAAGTACAAAAAGTTCTATTGAACTTGCAATGCTCCTAGAAATAGGGAATTGTTAATCGCAAACCCCCTCTCCTACTGCACCCACCCCCCCGCCCCCCCCCACCTGCCTAATTTTTCAGTACCGCCTTCCCAATTGGGTACCGCTTTTGCCTCGCCGCCTGAATCTGCCTACCGTTCTCTACACCACCTTCTAATTCTTATACACCGCCTTCCTAGTAAACTCCCTATACAATGGCAGTAGACAGCAGTTACCTACAATTTGTATATAAACCCTATACAAAATTAGGTCACTTTTGTTACTCAGGACGCTGAGGAGAGCAACAATACCGAGACCGGAGGACAGTGATATAGAGGAGCAAAACGTCCGCAGGGAGGTATCTGTGAACTAGCATAATCAATTCGTAGAGTAGATCAATAGATAAATCAATAATAATATACGATTTGTTCTGATTCAAATAGCGTATTCTTTACGATATAAACCAGAATTACTATGGTGGTGACAGAATATATAGTAGTACAAAAATAGAGCGGCAGAAACTATGGCAGAATTATTGGTCGCGCCTAATTGAGAAGGCGGTACAGTAAAATCAGGCAGGGGGGGGTGCGATTAACAATTCCCTAGAAATACTGCTGCGATTTAGCCCTTCGAGAACTCACGCTTTACATGTGATGTGACATTGTCCATTCGCATTGACCAGCATATGAAGCAAGTTCAAAGACAAAGCCCGATCTTCATTTTTCTGACATCAACTCCCATGTGTGGCTGTGAACGAATAGGGTATGCTAATATCCGGTTTTGATACCCCCTGAGGCTGGTTTAGGGAATTAGAAATGCCATTAATGTTAACGTCGGACAAATCAAAGTAAACATCCAACTCCCTGGGACATAATTGACGCAATTGCGAAATAGAACCAATCGGAAATGAGTGTCTGCATTCCAAAACACATAAAGTAATGCCAGGTGGGGGCCACTTGTAGGATACTATGTGGAGACTTTACTGACATTGGACGGTTAAAATATCCGGGACAATTCGTAAACTTCACTTTGTACGTGGAGAATGTGGAGAACCTTCCAAGGAATCAATCTGGAAATTCCATATAAAACACTCGTTGAACAACCAATTGGCAAAACACATGGTAGACAATCCACATTATCAATGACGTAGCCGCCACACGTCCCCGGAGGCTCGGGAAGTACACAACTAATTATAGTAGAACAAGAGTAATAAGAGTAACAAGAGTATAGCATTCCTTTTCCTTTCTAGCAATCATCTTTTTCACATCTGCAACTTTGCTACCATGGCTACATTCGTTACACATCAAATCATGGGCACTGCCCTTCAAACTACCGACAGGTATAAAGACTTGCAAGCGCGAGGTATTGGTTCCTCTGGAGTGATATGGTATATCCCCCTCGTATATTCTATTCGTATTGTAAGACCACTAACGACCAGTATTAGCTCGGCGCGTGATTCAATGGCCAACCAAATCGTTGCCATAAAAAAGATAAAGAATCCCTTTGAGCATCCTGCTTTGATCAAGCGCACGTATCGTGAGATTCATTTAATGACAAATTTAAAGCATGATAATGTATGTGCGGAAAGGGAGACCAAGTATGAATGCGAAGACTAACCGTCAACAGTTGATCAACTTGACAGATATCTTCATTTCACCGGCGGAAGATCTGTATGTGAATCACTTCTCTATTTCCCAAAATACCACTATACCACTATACTAAACATGTTAAAATTTAGTTATCTTGTGATGGACTGCTGTATGACAGATCTTCATCATTTGATCCGAACAGCGTCGAAGCCATTGGAGACCAAGTTCATCCAGTTCTTCGCCTATCAATTATTGGTATGTTTACCTAAGTCATGTCAAAGATTTAAATGCAGATGTAGCTGACTATCTCAGCGAGGGTTGAAATACATCCACTCTGCTGGTGTGATCCATCGTGATCTCAAACCTAGCAACATTTTAGTCAACGAAAACTGCGACTTGAAGATTTGCGACTTTGGTCTAGCCCGAGAACAAGATCATCAAATGACTGGTTATGTCTCCACACGATACTATCGTGCTCCAGAGATCATGTTGACTTGGCAGAGATACAGTTACGCGGTGGATATTTGGAGTACTGGTTGCATCGTGGCAGAGATGCTCCTAGGGAAAGTTCTTTTGCCGGGCAAAGACAACATGCATCAGTTCAGACTGATCACTGAGATGTTTGGGAAGCCACCCAAAGAGATTATGGAGACGGTTTACAGCGAAACTGTATGAATTCTAAAGACTGATTTGGATATTGAACAAAAGATGCTGACTACAAGTTATAGACGATGAAGTTTGTGAACTCTCTACCTAAAACAAAACCCCGGCCACTTGCAGCTGTTCTGGGAGATGTTGACCCTGCAGGTATGCCCGTTGAAATCTTAATTGATATGAAGTGCCTCCCGCTTTATCCACCAATAATACTGACTTTGCTAGCTATTGATCTCTTAAAGAAAATGCTTAATCTAGACCCACAAAAGAGAATCACAGCGACAGATGCCCTAACCCATCCATACGTTTCGGCCTATCACGATTCTACCGACGAACCCGAGTGCCAGAAAGAAATTGATTGGTCTCTATTAGATTCAGAAATGACCGCAGATGAATGGAAGAGCAAAATGTATGTATTTCCCAACATGTGGCGTATCAATGCTTATATTTTGAAGGTATTCCGAGATTCTGAATTATCACCATGGCTCTTACAACTGGGAAGATAATGATCCCAAAGCCCACGAGGGAAATTTTGAGCATTGGCTGCAAAAGGAGATGATGGTGGACACATATTAGCGGTACTTGGAGAACCTAGTCCTTATTCTTCTGATAGCAGCGCACGAATTTATCATCTGAGCATAGTCATTTAACTATCATTTTAAGAATGTGATTAATAATTTGACCGACAGTTACCTAGGCATCTCGACAGGCAAAGTCACAGAACTGACGAGATCTGTTGAGGTACTAGGTACTTCATGCAATAAGGAGCGTTGGGGCAACCTAGAAGTACCGGGTACTTATTGGTCGGATTACCTGATAGGCGAAATGTGCCTCGGCACGTCTCGGCCAGTAGCCCGAAGTGGAAACCTATTTCTCTTCATATACTTCTTTCAACTTCTCTTCCTCCTTTTCGCTTACTTTGTTTCTTCCTATCCACCTTCCTCTACATTTTGTAAGTCCACTCCTTAGAGCTCGAGTTGTTTGTCTTTTTTCTTTCACTCGCCCAAGTCTCCGCACCTGGAAGCTTCCCCGCATTAACCTTCACCGAAAGACTTCCATATATGCCAACAGCTTACTTCTTGAATAAATACAAGCTACGGAAAAGAATAGCAGCTGACTTTAACTTATCCAGTCTCCTCACCTACATACATCATGGCCGCAGATCGTTTAAGCTCGCTCCTGAGCCACCTCAAGCCCGGCGCCACCAACGGCCTTGCCGCTATGTAAGCCCTCAGACGAACTCAGTTGTGTTTTGCGAGTCTAACAAGCAAACGCAGTACACAGAAGAACCCCGACGATGTGGTCATCACCCTAGCAATCCGCACACCGCTGACCAAGGCGCGCAAGGGCGGATTCAAGGACTCAGAATTGGACTACATCGTTTACGCCCTGTTGAAGCAGACTCTGGCCAAGTCACAGATTGACCCTGCTCTGATCGAGGATGTCTGTCTCGGAAACGTACGTTTAATCTCTTTTCTCCACTCCACAAATCTATAGATGACATGTTCTAACATTTAAGATAGGTCGGCGAAGGCAAAGCCGCTTACATGGTCCGCGCCGCCGCTCTTGCTGCCGGCATCCCCCACACAGCCGGCGCCTCATCAGTGAACCGCTTCTGCGCGTCTGGCCTGAAGGCTGTGCAGGACATTGCGAACCAGATCCAGCTGGGCGCCATCGACATCGGTATCGCTCTTGGTGCCGAGCTGATGTCCGCCGCTAACGACCGCCTGGAGAGGCCATTCAACGAGGAAGTCCTGCGCAACCAGGAGGCTGCCGATTGCATGCAGCCCATGGGCCAGACGTCCGAGAACGTCGGAAAGGACTTCGATATCCCCCGCGAGAAGCAGGACCGATATGCCGCTGAGTCGTTCCGTCGTGCTGAGGCTGCTCAGAACAACGGCTGGTTCGATGATGAGATTGCTCCCATTACTGTCAAGGTCAAGGACCCCAAGACTGGCGAGGTTAAGGAGGTGACTCTGACCCGTGATGATGGCATTCGTCCCGGTACTACTTTCGAGTCGCTTTCTAAGATTCGCCCTGCGTTCCCCGAGTTCGGTGACAAGTCCACTGGTGGAAACTCCAGTCAGGTTACCGATGGTGCCGCATCTGTTCTTCTCATGCGCCGCTCCAAGGCTATTGAGCTCAATCAGCCTATCCTTGCCAAGTTCTGTGGTGCTACCGTTGCTGGTGTACCCCCTCGCGTTATGGGTATCGGCCCAACTGCCGCTATCCCCAAGCTGCTGAGCAAGTTCCAGCTTGACAAGAATGATATCGATATCTTCGAGATCAACGAGGCTTTCGCCTCTATGGCCGTCTACTGTGTTAACAACCTTGGCCTTGACCACGCCAAGGTCAACCCTCGTGGTGGTGCTATTGCCATTGGTCACCCGCTCGGCGCAACAGGTGCGCGCCAGATCGCAACCATTTTGAGCGAGGCTCGCCGGACAAAGAGCAAGATTTTGGTCACTTCCATGTGTATTGGAACTGGACAGGGTATGGCTGGTCTCTTTGTCAACGAACAGTTGTAGATATCCCGGAATTAGTCTAATTATGCGACAAAATATATGATTTCAATGTACAGAAATGAGTTAATTACAACTGAATGGTATCAAAGGCTATGTAGGTTAAAGCGAGAACTCATAAATCATGAAAAAAGATAACGTGCCAAACAAGCATCCATGATATCACTTAGCATCATCTTGCTTCCCGGCCTGACTCTCCCTCTTCATCCTCTCCTCCGCAGCCCGTGCCATGATTTCCCTACGAGACAACGTCCCGCCAGAAGCACCTTGGCCTCCAGCCGAGTCGCCCTGCAATCCACCAAGGACAAACTCTCCACCAGTCCACCCACACTCATCAACAAACTCCTCTCCACCCTGCGCACTATCCCAATCACCAGGATTGTAGAACTCCTGATTAGACAACTGATTTCCACCAGACTTCCAATCAGCTCGATCAACTTCCTTCTCGATCTGCGACGTCAAATCCCAGAAGTCACGGTCATGAGGCCCGAACACGCAATGCGCAAGCTCATGACACAGCGTCTTCCGAATAGTCCGGTAATCACGATATCCGTCATAAGCATCCGTTCGCAAACGCAACTCAATAACCTCGCCTTTATTCCGGTTCAGACCTAGCGTCCGCGACTCGCTCGTCGTGTGTTCTGCAGGATTCATTTCCGTCAAGAGCGGGACGGAGAACTTGTGCTTTGTCATTGCGGCGCGGATGCCTGGGTCATCACGGAGGCGTTTGAGGAAGTCGAGGGAGCGGTCTGGGTTCGGGAGATAGGATAGAGGGAGGAGACGGTGGAAGGTGTAGTTGTTGTTTGAGGAGGAGATTGTATGGACGCCGCCGCTACGGCTGGAGGATGGTGTTTGTTTGTTGCGTCTTGCGGCGCTTAGGGCGGAAGCTCGTGCTTCTTGCCGTCGTTGTTCGCTAGCAGATTGTTCGTGCAGATCGGCGATTGCTTTGGCGGGGGTGCCGAGGAGGGTGATCTTGAACTTTGGGGAGGAGGTTTGGAGAATTGCGTCGAGGAGAGTTGGTGGGAAGGGTGCTTTCTGCATTCCTGGCTTTGGGGCTATGAGGAGCTTTTGGTTGTCGATAGGGATGTTTAGGACGCGCTCTATCTCCGACGAGAGATCTTGTAATGTTGCCGAGGCAGAGACTTGGATGATATGCGCGGTTCCATGGTGGTGGACGGTTAGCTCCTTGGGGGAGTCCATTATAGCGTACTATTAGATGGGTGATTGTAGAGGAAGAGCTCGTGAGAGAGGAAGTCGCGATAAAGAAGAATCCGATTATATGGCCCAAATAGGCAGGCGCTGGCGAATTCGACCCGGTTCCACGGGGTTAGGTTTGTCAGCACGGAGATAAGCAGATAGCACGTGATATGGAATTCATGTGAAATTATGCCTCAGGCAGTAATAACTTGTCGGAGCATACAGACCGGCATACCGGGGATTTAATTAATCCAGGTTGTGCAGTAATTTTGAATTAGTAATCCGCTATCCATATAAATTGCTAGGAAAACGGATACTGCAATACAGAGATTTTAACACCATTGATTGGACCCATACATTTCAAGATACGAGTGTAATTGACATAACTACAACTGCACTGGAATATACATTGGATCATCAGAGTAATCTCTCAACTGCTGGCTAATCCCAAGGCCATTGGGTTGAAGTCATCTTGCACGCCTTGCTTTTTATCAGCGCCGTCAATTTAAAGAAGCATAATGCTTATTGAAGATAGCTCAACCCTCAAGAGAATTTGAGTCATTCAAACCAGCCTAGGTCTCTCGGTTATAGATATCGTTATATTTCGACAACGATCGTCGCAGAAGCAAATCGGCTTCAATGCCTTGGAAACGTGAAGGATTCAGGGCATCCATGAGAGCCTTGTCTTCTGAAGTAGTCGAATGCTCACCATCGCCAAGAATCTCTCTTGCCAACAGCTTAGCAGTACCAGCAGCAGTTGTAACCCAAATAGCTGCAGCAAGCCATAGATTTGCAACATCAGGAACCCGGCCAGCGAAGGGTAAGTTGTCAGGCGTGACAGAAAAGATACCATTGAATGGCTTGTCCGCCACCCAAGGCGCTTCTGGGTCTGCGTTCTGTCCCTGGACCTGGAACTCACTCCCGTTCTTCAAGTTCGAAGAAGCGTCTGACAGCACTTGATCGAAGCTTGGTGGCCAAGCTCCAATCGCGCTTTCAATCGGATCAAGCTGCATTGGGGGATGATCATAACTGCCTAGACCATCCCGAGCTCCATGGTCCCTTGCATAGACGTGATGGTCCAGCCAGCGAACGAATGGGTACGGGGTACCGACACGTCTAGCCCGAGGAGGAGTAAAGGTGTAAGGGTGTGCGACGGGGACAATTGGAATTGGAAGTTGCGTAACAGGGGTGTTGTCGCTGCCAATCAAGAGAGATGTCCAAATGCCAGTGGCGAGAATCACAGTACTGCCTTCCGCATTGATATCTCCACTAGCGGTCTTAATGGTGGCTATTTCCGATGTCTCGTTGTCCTTCTTGGTGGCAAAGCCTGTTACAGCAGCTTCCAGGAAATCCACCCCTCTGGCGCGCGCTTGGTCGACATAGTAGGAAGTAATGACGCCTGCATTTGCGGTTCCGTCTGATGGGAAATGCAGACAGTGCTTAATCGAGTTGGCATCGATAAAGTCCGGGGCAAGAGCAGCCGCCGCCTCTGGAGTGAGAAGTTCCGCAGGTAGACCAGCCCCCTGTGCCGTTTTCTGCCGGCGCTCTAAGGTCTCCAACCCAGAAGGTGTAGAGGAAAGTTCCAAGTTGCCGACTGTTTCAAAGCCACCTGGGATTGTGAGGTAGTCCTGGACGGTATCTTTGGCCAACTGAGTCAACACAGGCGACTCATTGAGTTGGCCAACGAATCCTGGAGCGTGACCGGTGGAACCCAATAGGGTATCGAGGCTTTTGTCGATGAGTATGATATGATTTTCATTTTGGGCCTTGGAAAGGTGGAAGGCAAGAGCTGCGCCGACGATGCCTCCTCCAACAATAATGATCCGGCGAGAAGAGGGATCGCTATTCAATTGCGCAATATTCAGGGTGGACGGCATCTTGAAGGTATGCTCAGATTTTAAAAGGACTAAGCTATATATATCTAGTACCCCTCCAAAACCATTCGGGGATCAAATCCCACATTTAGGAGTTTGGGTCCACAGTGACTCGTACATTCAAACCCCGTTCAAATAGAAAGATTAGAGAGCAAATATAGTATCCGGTTACAACCGGCCCCGCTATTTTATAAACCCCGTTAGTTTGGAAGTCTTATAATCTTTCCATTTTAACGAGGGTTGACTGTACATAATTGTAATAAGAATGTAAAACACATATATTTACCGCCTTCGCATATCGCTTCTTAATTTTGAGTATGGGTATGCAGAGATAGTCTGTCAACAGACGATGATGCTTAGGTGCTTCTGATTGTGTTTGGATTGCAGTTTTGGGGCAGATCATGCCAGATATCCCCTTCTATGTAGATATTAAAGATTCTGGGGTGCGAGTGGCTCATTCCCGGTTAGCCCCTTCTTTTTCAAAAGCGCAGCACGATCTTCCAGAAACACTTTGTATGGAGCTTTGGGGATGGTCCTATCTTCGTTCTCCCATACTTGATATCCAGTCTCCTCCCAAACTTCAAGTTGACGAGTAAGATTCGGGCTTGGTTTGACTTTTTGTTTGGATTGGACAAAATTCAATATGTCCACTCTCTGGATGCGGAGTTTGCGCATAAGATATGCGATAATGATTGTCGGCGAGCGTGATATACCAAGATCACAGTGTATTAATATCGCCTCCGAAGGTGTACCGCGTGGCTCATCATTTGTAGTATATTTGTGGTCGACAGGCAAAGAGGACAATGAGGAAAGAGCAGGAGATACCATTTGGTCGATAAAGTCGCAAATATCGCTCATATAAGCAAGGAGGTCTTGCGTTGACGAGTCTGCACACTGAACCCATCTGTGACGATGCTCTGGGATACCTGCCTCTCTTGTAGCAGAGTTCCACCATACCCATCGAGCATTGGTAAGAGAGACAATTGCGTTGATATGATTTTCTTGAAGTATATCCCGTTTGTGCGATGCCTCAATATTTCCAAGAAAGAGACCAGGGACAATCTGCCTCATCCGGGCCGTGAATGCCATCTTCCACTTCTTGTTCCTCTCATTTTCGATATCCTTTCCTGTTCTGCTTTCATCCATTATAGCTTGCTCGCGTTCTTCCTTTGCCTTCAAGACTGAGGAAGACAGATGGCTATAGTTAAGATTGTTTCCGGGGTTAGGTACAGGATGCGTGTGCTTTAAAAATATTGTTATTGGGCAGTGTTTAGAGCCAACATTGTTGATCATAGATGAGTAGGGGAGCCATGCCTAGCCAATTCCGCACGCCGTGGTGACATAGCATAATTCCCCAATCATAAGACTAGACTAAGCGCCAATTTCTCTCCTTGCAGCCAGGCGCTTGAAAGCTGAAGGGAGACCCCTGTAAGCTTTGCGCCCTCTACGTTCTCCTATGTTCAAGGCCGTGCAATCTTTTTATCTTGCAGAAGCATTGACCCTCTTTTTCTGCAATGTCTGTCACATCACCACCAGAGGCAACATGCATGTGATATTGTGAGGCGTGTTTAGAACGTAACGTTAAACTGACTTGTATAAGGAGGTCTGAGTGATGACAGCCTTCCTAGAGTAGATCATGAAGCAGATCATCGAAGCACGATATAGTTAGGGTGGTTTAAAGGCTGTGCCTTTTTACTATGGTGATACTATACATAATAAATATCACTCATCAACAAAAACAAGACAATATAAAGGCATAAAGTCTCATCTTGGTAAGAAATTCGGGTTGAGAAGGCTCTGGATTCCAGTATACAATCTATGAACAAGGAAGAGGATTGCAAAATGAATAGGCCAAACCCATTTATAGGAATAGCCGAATGGTACGACGAGGGTCAACTAAGCCCTAGAATGCCATACTGGTTCATTTCTGTTTCAACTAAAATAAAACAAAACGGAAGCTGTTAAGTACTACTGGATACTAACTGTAGATGCCAATGTGCTATGGTCGTTTTCTTGGGGTTCGAAACCAATACACCCAAACTACGAGAAGATGGCCTCTTCAAGTAAAACATGATTAGCTACATGATTTTCTCGAGAAATCCCAAGAACATAAGGGAGCAAACCTCAAAGTCCAGACTTTCTCGATTCCACCAAAAGCCCACTGCCAGTTCCTATGATGCTCGCCCCAGTTGTCTTCGTGTTGCTGAAGGTTTTCGGCTATCCGGTAAAATTCTCGTAGGCTGGAATATTGACGTTGACCAGGACCTTCTCATCTACCGCCTCCAGTCTGTCTTCGAGTAAAGTGGTAGAAGTGCCGTAAGAAAAAAAGTCCCAAATAGGGACCTATGCTTGTTTGCACAATGATCTGATCTCATACTTTGTTTCAAATCCTGGTTTATCCTGTTTCTCAATCTCCCTTTCTCAGATCCTACATCACACTTCTGTGCTTCCATTATCTAGAAAAAACTTACATACTTCATCATCATGTCCACTGAGTCGTTCCCCTCGTATCTCATTACAAATCCTCAAAGTACCCACGATATGACCATACCCCTTTTTATTCAACGACTGCCTTCGAAGTCAAGGACCTTGCGATTGGTTTGCAATGGCTTGAAACCCTCGATCCATCACTGATAAAAAAGCTACGCATCGTTATTGTCCAAGTTAAGCCGGTTTACCGCCCAGGATGGCCTGCATTCTTGAATAAACTTTCCACAGAAGCTGTCGGTCTCGAGGAACTTGACGTACAGATTTCCATTCGGTTCAGTGCTGCCAATTGGTGTGCAGCTGTGGATATCGAGTTTTTGCGTGAGCTTGGGAGATTCCGGTGGTTGAAGAGAATGAAACTCGATGGCTGGTTCCCTAGGGAGTGGCCGGAATATCTGTTGTCTAGGACCGGCTTGACTGTTTGGCGGGAGTCAGAACATACTGAGGCGCACTTGCGGGAACTCAGAAAATTTCGAGACCTGCTCATCCCTGAATACCCTTCGGACTTTGAATAGGGCTGCCTGTCTTGCAGAACTAGCCAGCCTGCTGTCCACCAAAGCTAGGTTGGTGCATTAACGAGTTCATTTAGCTCCATATCACGGAATCGTTGGTTTGGAAATATCAACACTCGTCATTGCAGGGAGACATTGATCACCGGGAAATGCTAGCAGATGTTTTGATGGCTGCATGGGACTCAGTTCTCAGATCTTGACTCTACCTAGTTCTTCTGTTAGCCCATGAACATCCCTCAAGGCTCTATGTAAACACATCTATTAAACAATAACTTCCGAGTCTTACCGAGAGTAGCAACCTTTTGCTCATGCCTTAGTTGGCAAAATCTCGTACTACGTATTAAGTTAGACATTCGGTAGTGATGCGAAGACCTGATTTTTGACCCTGAACGATCAGGATGAGTCGCTTCGCCAACGAGACATGCTACTTATTCTAGATCTCAAAAGTTCGAAGTCCCAAGAAAACGAAGTTGAAGACAAAGGCGTTGATATTTTCATCTATTCATAAACATATCGAAAGGAACAGGAACGATCTACATCACAACCGTTTGCCATTAGAACAAAAAAACAAAGTGGCCAACGACCAAATTCGATCGAAATCTCTAGCTCCGTGAAACATCTCTTAAAAAAAGTCCTTTTCGTCATAAAACGCAGCGATTTACCCGATCCAAATGTTAGTAATGAATCATATTAGATCAGAGTAAAGCGCAGTTGGGAATGGTTTTTCCGAATCCCAACCAAGAAAACAAAAAAAGAAAAAGAAAAACATCAGCAAATCGTTCCAGTGTCATGAATGATCTACTGCTCCTCGGTCTCGCCCTGGGCCTCGCCTTCGGCGGGGGCGTCCTTCATCTCGGCGTCACCCTCGGTGCCCTTCTTGGCATCCTCTTCGGCCTTCTTGGCATCGATCTCGGCACGACGCTTGGCGGCGGCCTCCTCGTCAGCCTTGCGGACAGCGTCACGCTCAGCCTCGACCTTCTCCTTGTAGCGCTGGATGATGGGGCCGGCAATGAAGCGGATGTCATCCATCTTGGCGACGTAGACGGACTTGGTAGCGTCCTCGCCATCCTCGTAGAGCCAGTCCTGAGATGATGCGTTAGTATGTCTTAAAATAGTTATTCAGAAATGCGGATTCGAAACTCACCTCAGTGTCCATGAGCTTGGACTTCAACTTCTCCTTCTCCTCCTCGCTGGCGAACTCGGAGTAAACACCATCGATCTTGTCACGGAGCTCGTAGATGGAGGCCTCGAGCTCGTTCTTCTTCTCGTCGGTCTCAGCGACGAGCTTATCCTCCATGTACATAGCGTTCTCACGCTCGGTCCAGGCCTCCTTAGTGGCTTGGTCGAAGCCGCCGGTGGCGGAGGTAATGGGGAGATCGCCCTTGCGGACCTGCTTCTTAACCTTGCGGGTCTTCTTGGGCTGCTCCTCCTTGGATTCGGTGTCCATATCACCCTCCTTCTTCTCCTCCTCGACGGGCTCCTCGACCTCCATATCCTCGACGTAGTATCCAGACTCGACGTTGAGAATACCGTGCAGGTTAAGACGGGCCTTGAGCTTGCAGATCATGAAGTCGTTGTTGGCATCAGCCTGGACGCCCTTGACGGAGAAGCGGCCAATCCAGGGGTTGACCTTGCCGGGCATGGACTCGACGTTAGAGTAGCGGGCCTCGAGATCGAAGGGCTGCTTGCGGTAGAAAGTGAGAATCTTGGTGGAGGGCATGACGTTGCCGCGGCTGAAGACAGTGAGGCTGGTATCCTCATCGGGGATCTCGGGGGACTGCTCCCAGGTGAAGTCGATGGGGTAGTTAACAATGTCGTGAACAGCGAAGTCACGGACACGGAAAACGGGGGAGAGAATAGCACAGCTGAAAGCACAACCGCGGGCAATGGCCTCATCCTGGTTCAGGGTGAAGGACAGACCCTTGCCGAAGAACTTGCTGATGGTGTCCTTGATAGCGGGGACACGGGTGCAGCCACCGACCATCTCGATGTAGTCAATGTCCTCGACCTGAAGCTTGGCCTCGGAAAGGGCCTGCTCCAGGGGAGCGGTGAGTCGGTCAAGGAGAGGCTTGACCATGAGCTCAAGCTCCTCACGCTTCATCATAGCGCGAACGTCAGTGTCATCCATAAGGGACTCGACGCTGAGAGGTGCCTGGGCGTTAGCCGAAAGGACCTTCTTGAGCTTCTCGGCAGCAACCAAGGTACGGGTCCAGGCCTTTCCGTTAGTGTTGATGTCGACCTTGAACTTCTCCTTAAACTCGACGGCGAGGTGCTCGGTCACAGCCTTATCGAAGTTACGGCCACCGAAGTGACGGTCGTAGGCGGTAGCCTTAACGTTGAGTTCACCCTTGCGGAACTCAACAATGGAGGCAGTGTAGTCGGAGTAACCGATATCGATGAACATCACACGGCGGGGCTTCTCCTCGGGGCCGGGGAGATCCAACTTGGTGATACCGTAGCCGAGAGCGGTGGCGGTGGTGTCGTTGATGAGACGGAGGATGTTGAGGCCAGCAATGTTACCAGCGTCAATCATAGCGCGGCGCTGCACATCAGTGAACCAGGCAGGAACGCTGATAGTGACATCGGAGACGGGAGCGCGCAATTCCTTAGAGGTAATATCCTTGATCTTGGAAAGGTAGGAAGCGACCAACTGGGTGGCTGTGAACTTCTCCTTCTTGCCGAGGTAGCTGACCTCGACACCGGCCTGGCCATCGACGTCGACCAGGGTGCATGTGTTGTATTCTTGCTCGATGGCGACATCGGGGTCGTTGAAAGAACGACCGATCAGGCGCTTGAGGGAGCCGACGGTGTTCTTCAGGTTAGAGATCTCTGCACCCTTGGCAGCCTCACCGAGGTTTCGGCTGCGAGGCGTGAATCCAACAACGGAGCTAAAAGAATTCAAATCAGTATTCTGTTATCTGATGGACAGCGGGGAGGGGTCATTGGGTTATTGGGACGTACGGAGTTTGACGGTTGGAAACCTCATTGGCAATCTATAATGTCAATTTAAAAAAAGCAGTTAGCGCAATTGCTCAGATTCGAGAGTTCATGATTCATCCCGAGCGAAGACCGCATCGAGACCGTGGGGTAACACGCACAATGTCAATGCCCTTGTTGCGGGCAACACCAATCTTGGTGCTCTGCGCACCCAAATCTATGCCGACGACACTCATTATGGAAGAAAGTAGGGGGGTATGGGGAGGTAGGGGGAGGTAGAGAGAGATGGAAGATTCAAAAGAAGAAAAGTGAGAGAAGTCGGAGGGGAGAATTTGCACGCCACTCCACTATTATTGGAGGGGCGATGACCAAGTGTCAAGCGGTCTGGCGGGATCTTTAGGCGCTGAACTAAGGGATTTCAAATTTGGGGTATAATTGATAACGTAAAATTTGTCAGATTGTGCTTTTCTTTCTTTCATTTCCTTCACTCCCACTGGCCTATATACGTTTCTTACCATCTGGACTGTGCTGGTACCTCATCGAACCTTCTGGTGACTGCTGGACCACCCACTTTCACCGCCTAACTTCCTGTCCAGCAGAATAAAAATTGATCACCGCCCGATGAGGAATCTACAGTGGATCATTGGCTACATCATATGCTTTGGACTTGAATGTGATTTGAATTCTAAAAGCTACAGAAGCGAGAAGCAAAACCGTCAGGCTGAAAGACATAAGAATAGAATGGCCAACAAAGCTATGCAGAATGAGACGAATCGGCCGGACTAAAAAAAAGAAGAAAAAAAAAGAGGAAAAAAGGGCAAAAAAAGAGAGCTGACGTCATGGGCCTGGTACATATGTTCTTGTTAGACAATAATATCATAAAGGTGGAGTCACGGGGTGTCACGGGGTTTGAATGTAGCTCGGCGCCATGCCTTTTGGCTTGGGGTAGGCTGGAGGAACATTCTCAGAACGCCCCATCTGGTATGCTTCCGATGGATGGGAGAGTTCCACGGAGTCATCGTGCCCAAACGCAGAAACCATAGGCCCATCAAAGCGGTTCTCCGAATTCTGACCACCAAGGCTCACCGAGCAATTTAATGCCTGACCTTGGCGTGCATAATAAAGTTTCTTTTGGTCTTCTTCACTCATCAGGAGGGTTTCAACGTTCTGTGGCGTGGCGATCGAGCTAGAGCCGCAATCAGATGCGCTGAGCACAGAGTCAGTCGAATGGGAAAAGAGAGGAGGTAGTCGGTACTGGAAGCCTTCGGGATTTTCCATCGCATTGACCATCCGTGCCAATGCGGGCCCAGGGCCGGCTGTGTTGACATAAAACCCATCAAGTAACTGCTTGGCAGGTGCAAATCGACCTTCCACATTGGGCGATGGGCGGACAGGGACGGATCTCCGGCGCACAAGCTTGGTGCGGAATGTATCGACGTTCACATTGAACTCATCGCCCTGCTCTTTGGCCCGTTCAACTGCTTCTCCTGGCGTGGTATGATCATCAGCAGTGGCAGCATCGGCTCGTGGTCCACCCCAAGTTCGCTGACCGGCCGTGAAAATACCATAGACCATGTAAATCCAGTTGAAGAACGGGTTTACAACGAACATGATGGGGTAAAGCCAGGCTTTATAGCGTCCGAGACGCAGGCCAAAGTATAGCATGAGTAAATAATTCAACCCCAAGGACACCCCCATGAATCCCACAGGAAGATCGTCCACCTTCTTAGAGGTTGTAAGTAGTGCGATTATCATGATGAAAAAGAGCAGTGCAGTCGTCCGGATTGTATTTTGCATGAATCGAACCAGACACAGAAGGGGATAGCGCTTCCAGAGTCGGATATCAGTGATCATGCAAACCTCGTTGGTGATGAAACCTAGGAACCATCGCCGGCGTTGCTTCAAGAGAGTTGCAAAGGTCTGAACAGCCTCAGTCTTGCAGAAGGCGCTCATACATAGCTGGATTTGATACCGTTCCGTAGCACCAATCATGAACAAGTGAGTGAGCCATCTGTCTTCCCCAAGATGACATTTTCCATAGTCGAAGAGATCGTCGCATTGCTCAGCCTTGTCCGAAAAGTAATACTTGGCCATCTTGCGGAAAGCCGAGAAGCGTAGAATAGTCAAAGCTCCAGGGAGACAAGTTACCGCACCACAGCCAGACTCAACAGATCGTTCAAAAAGCTGACCATGGACGTATTCCATGTCTTGAAGAATCGTCAACAAGCTGTTTTTTTCTGTCGTCGATGTAATGATGCCCGTCATTGCGAGCATATTGTGTTTGCTGCCTGGCTTAAGTTCCATATCGTACATGAAGTTCTGCAAGCAAACTCGATCGAGAATGCAGTCAGAATCAATGAAAAGCACGAACAGATTGTCATGTCTCCTCAGGTACTCAGCATAGACCTTGTCGATGAGCTTGAAAGTATGCTTTTGGCAGTGCCTTTTACCGCCATGTTTGAAGCGAGATACCGTGATTCGTGCACCCTTGTAAATGCAGTCAATGCTTTGAGGATAGCTTTCCAGTGAGACCGGAATACCAAGATGGTCAAGGACACGGAGATAAGGCTCATCCACCTTGCCGCCATCGTATGACAGAAACACATGGATGCAATTCGCAGGGTAGTCGCAGTCAACCACGGAGTCGATGGCTTTAATCAAGATACTTGGCTCCTCCTTGTATACTGGCATCACAACCACAGTCTTCGGAGCCGTCCGATCATCAAGTACTCGCTTGATCCTCTTTTTTCTCCCCAGTGAATTGGTGGTGAGTCCGTAAACACAGAATAGCCATGGACCGATCAGAAGAACAGAAAAGGACCAGAACGCGAATACTTGAAAGCCATGTACCATTTCGTGGGGTAATTTAACCGTGATCTGTGGCGGCAACGGTAGTGTCACGAGCATGACTAGAAGGAATGCAAGTCTATTATTATATGTGTTCGTCAGTCGATGTTCCTGAATAAAGCTGCTATGTAATGAGCCCCCGATGTCCAGGAAACCTACCGCATCACTGTGAACAAGAACACCATCACCACGGCGAGAACTCTTATACTCCAATGGTCTGCTTTTATCCAAACCTTTATTAAGCAGTAGATGAAGGCGCTGAGCCAGAGAACCCATTCAAACAGGGCTGCGAGCATCAATGGGCCGACGATTGAGAGGTAGATTATCTGTCGAGGGTAGTTAGGATGACATTCGAAGGCCAGATGGGGGAGAACATGCGTCTTTGGTTGGCCAGGTCCCATTAACCGACGAATCCCTTTGTGAGAGCGCCATTTTGATTTGGCAAACCTGCTTTGTAGTCTGTTAAATGTTGAAGACAGCACCGAAGGGGAAGGTTAAATGGTTCGAAGGTAGGTATTGCGTGTAGACGATGGAGGCCTTGACTCCATGTCTGGTTAGCAGAATTCAGGATCTCAAAGCCAACAGAGCGTTACTCACAACTCGGGGCCTGATAAGGTTATGTACGATCTTGTGGTGAATGGGATATCCAGATTAAAATCGTCCTGGAAGGAATATTCAACATAAGCTATATGTAATATTTGATAAGCGTGAATGCTATGTGACAGGATGAGTACGAGAGGTCTCAGGTGGAAGAGAAATGGAGTTGGCATATACCTAACCACGGTATTTGGGAAGGTGCGATGCGCCTCATGTCCTCGTTCTGGTCGCAGTTTGACAGTTTTCAGCGAAAATATGAGTATTACGGATCTGACACACTTCTTTTGGAACATTCTATCAATGATACTATTCATCTATTGTCATTGCACCCTTTGAATACAATGCAGACAATAGAACAATGTATAGAATGGTCGAATTGCCCAAAATGGAATAGTTCTAATCCACCCTAACCAATAGCAGGCTAGTGTCTGCCTGAGGCGCTAATGGAGCTCAAAAAAAAATCCCAGATTCTCCCCGCCGCGAGATATTGTCACAAGCGCAATAGTATTCTGAATAGCGCATTGATCAATCTATAAAGGTATTGTTACCATTTCCCCCCAGGCTATCTATAAATCTCCCCCGATCTCTTGTTCTGGACTTTCTGTTTTCTCTGACTCATCTCCGGCGCGTCGAAACATTCTGCTTATCATTTTTTTCACATCTGAAATAGTCTCCACATACAATTCGCAACTATGGCCGAAGAACAAAAGACCCCTGTTGCCAACGCCGAGGCTGAGAAGGATGTTCAGAATGTCCTCGCTGAACTAAAGGAGGAAACTGCCACCAAGGAGGAAACTGCCACTGAGCAGCCCGCTCAGGATGCCGAGGAGGCCCGCATTGTCGCTGAAGCTGCTAAGCTCGGAGAGAAGTCTGAGAAGGCCGAAGAGAAGACCACAGAGCAGACTGAGAAGCGCGAGACCCGCAGCTTCCAGCGCGATGGCCGTGGTGGCCGTGGCCCTCGCCAGAACAACGCCAAGTTCGATCCCTCCACCCAGGAGGTAACCGACGACCCTGTTCAGATCCGCAAGCAGGTAAGATCATCAAAACGCCCCTTCGCTAGATCCGAACTAACGCTTATACCCTAGGTCGAATTCTACTTCTCCGATTCTAACCTCCCCATGGACAAGTTCCTTCTCTCCAAGGTTGGCGGCAGCGCCAACAACGCTGTGCCCCTTGAACTCCTTCACTCTTTCAAGCGCATGCGCCGCTTCCAACCCTTCAGCGCTATCGTCGAGGCCCTCAAGACCGCCGAGAACGTCGAGCTGACTGACAACGACACCGCCGTCAAGCGCAAGGTCCCTCTGCCCGAGTCCGTGAACGAGCACGATGCCAAGGCCATCAAGGTCTTCGAGGACGCCTCCATGGCCCGCTCCATCTACGCCAAGGGCTTCGGTTTCGGCGAGGAAGAGCCCACCACACAGCTCGATATCGAGGCTCTTTTCGCCCCCTACGGTCCTACAAACGCCATCCGCCTCCGCCGCACTCACAACGACAAGACCTTCAAGGGCAGCATCTTTGTTGAGTTTGAGTCTGAGGAGAAGCAGAAGGCTTTCCTCGCTCTCGAGAAGAAGCCCCAGTGGAAGGACCGTGATCTTATCTTCAAGAGCAAGAAGGAGTACTGCGACGAGAAGGTCGAGGAGATCAAGAATGGCAACGTCTACCCCTCCAGCGCTCGCAACAGCGGCGGCCGTGGTGGCCGTGGTGGACGTGGCGGTCGTGGCGGACGCGGTGGCCGTGGTCGTGGTGGCGGTGGCCGTGGCCGTGGCGGCCGTGATGGTCGTGACCGCAATGACCGTGACAATGGTCGTGACTGGCGCGAACGCCGCACTGAGGACCAGCAGAATGGCTTCCAGGCTCCCCGCGAGGCCCAGAAGGACTCTCGGTAAGTCAAACTGATCTGATATCCGTAGTGAGAGTATAAGTGCTGACTTTGATTATAGTGGTGTCCCAGTTGTGCAGAGCACCCAGAAGCGTTCCCGTGAGGATGAGGGTGCTAACGGCGATCACCCCGCCAAGAAGGTGGACGCCAAAGAATAAGCCATCTAATTTCAGCGAATTGAAATGTCTTGTCCTTAATTCTTGTTCTCTGATTCGCTCGATCGGCAGGATTGATTCAAAAAGTATTGCGGATTGGAGATCCTGCCTCTGTTTTCCAATTATTTCATAGAGGTGAACCTTTTCTCGGCGTTATGTCATTTCGTTACGAGCATCTACGGGTTGGCTAGGCAGGCTTCGGTGCCTACGATTGACCGAGGCCTGGGGTTTGATATGTACAAATGAGCCGTTTGAACGGACTGTTCTCAAAACTCTTCCCATCACGAATAAACCTGGTAGTACCTTAGAACTAGACTTGGCTATATCACTTGATATACCAAAACGCCTAGAACTCCAGATCATAGGCCAAAGTATCATCGCATAGCTCCTCTCGCATTTTATGAACCCTTCGAAGTATCAGCAAATCAACCCATAGTCCTCACTGACCCGAGAAGAACTTACTCCAAATGAGCAGGATGCACCGCATAGCTAGCGACATGCTCAGCCGTCTCCAAAACAGCAACGAGTCCCATATCGAATCCCTGGGCACGGGGAATCGATATCGGCAACGGGGTACCGCTCTTCAACGACAACAGTCCTATTGCAAGTTTCCATGAGAAATCGTCTCAATCTGAACTTCAGGGTCTCACCTACCAGGAATTTTCCCCACCATTCCATGGGATTTCTCCTTCCAGGTGGCGATCTGCTCGGGTGTGACGCCGGGCTTAAGGCGGAAGAGGACTTGTAGCTCGGTTAGTGATTGGGGTTTGTTTCATGTCTTTTCAACACTCGGCTGACTCTGACTCACCAATGTGATAAACTGGCATTTTGACTGACTCCTCGCGGATGATGATAGATGTACGTTCCTCAATTTATTTAATAATATTGCCCCGGTTATTGCGTCGTTATGATCAGCGGGGTGACGGTGGGGTGCTAGTGGGGGTTTCGGCGGATGTCCGATGGCCTGGACGAATGTCTTCTGCGCCGGTGATATTCTATACGGTGTGTATGCTCAATCACCTCATCGCTATAGGCTCCAACATCATGTTTGAGATAGGGTTTGATGACTTGTCCAAGTTATCCTCAAAGATAGCAAGCACTTGCTGCTCCTAACGCGATAGACCGTTCAGTTCCTTCGGGCAGGATCAGGATTGGATACCCACCCATGCTGAATGACCGGAAGAATCGGAGGTATGTTTGTTGTGAAGAAGAGAGGGGACAGATGTGTACAAGGCAAATATTCTAAGAAAATAATAAGTGAAGGAACCAGCTGAGTTTTTGCTAGAAGGGGCTGGAGAAATCCTCCTATGTGCACCGAGCGTCTTCCTATTTTTGTCTCTGGAAATCCACACTCTACACAGGCATTATGCCTCTACTACATACATATATTTTGTCTGCCTACTAAGTAGACTTTTCTCTCCTGCTGAGCATAAAAACAACCCCAGCGTGCTGGCTGCTACCTATCATTTGTCAACTTCTCCCTTAAACCGTGCCATGTTTCTACACTATACTCGCTCAATTATCATCAAGATTTATACAAATATCCACTAATCTCCTTCATCAACCGCCTTCCTACCCTCTTTGTGGTTGAAAGACTTGATAACAGAAGCGCAACTCAGCTATATATTCCTTGACCCTTATATAAATTAATTCTACCAGCATTACAATGTCAGGCTTATATCTCGGCACCCGCCCTCGCACCTTTGAACACCCTTGAGGCAACTTCACGAACTCTTTCACAAAGGATGGCAAGAAACAACTGCGCAAGGATGAGAACCGCTCACAACCTAAACGGGAGAACACTCCCACAAGAATAATTGATTTTACGGTCCTGGCATATTTGGTTAACTTTTTGAGATTTTTTGGCGACTATAATTCTTGATGAGGGCTATTGGGGAGGAGAACTTGTAAGAAGGACGGATTGTACGATCGTGGTGAGGACACAAGCGTCCTAGCGGCAACAACACAGTCTACTTGATCAAGGATGATATCAGAAATAACGGTGCAGTTAGCAATCAGAACACGGTCCACAGGCGTTATCGACGCAGCTATAACAGCCATAGTGACAATAACGGCCCCGTTAGATTCGAATGTCATGCTTCTGAACCAGGGTGCATAAATTCATCTGCCCCAGCTGGTCCATATAGATATCCCTCGAGACCCTCGCGATACCGACCATGCTTGGGATATGTTAGCGATGGAAGCCTCTACCCGTATACTGCTCAGGAATCGACTACTGTGTGGCGCGGTGCCGCTATGACTTTCGTACCAGCTATGTTTTGGCTGTTGAGGATTTTCTCAAGGATAGTGGGTTGAAGAGCATGGTGCTTATTAGCCAAATGGGCATATTCCCTTTTAACTAGCAACTGTAAGAGTGGTGGCTCAGTTGTTCTTCCTTTTCTCTCTTATTCTTCTCTAGTTTGGAGTGCCCTATCGTGGTGAGACGGTATAGGTCCCTCATTTAGTTGTTTTTCCTAGGTGCCAGTGCGTGGTACTACTGATGCACTATGTTAATCGATTACTTTGACTTCTGTGCTTTCTTATATTTCGTAATGATTCTTAGGGTATTCGTTACTGCACTCTTAGGAACATTTGAACCTATTAGTTGTATTCCGATGGCTATCTATGCCATTTTACTAAGTAGCGGGGCTCTTTCTCAAACACTTAATGCTTGATTTCTTCCACTTCCCATTCTGTGCTACTATGGTTAAAATAGGGAGACAGAGAACATATTATAGGTTACTACGTACGCATGAGACGGCGAGCAGGAAGCGATACGCCCATTTTCCTACACATTCAAAGATTCGGAAGGATCCTATCCAGCGTGGGGACAGCTTTTTGATTGTGCCTGGTTTCAATCTGAGGTTCTTTGTTGACAGAGCCACAGGATCGTTTTTCTTCGGGGATATTTCTTGGTGATGCTTATTGTAGTTCTTTTTTTGTACTTCCGTTACTTTTCGCCATGAAGTTTGCAGCTTTTCACGAAGTTGGTTATCTTTTTGAATCTTGATACTGCTGCTGAAGTGAGGTGTATTCAGGAGCTAGTGCATGTAGAGAGGGTTTTTGGATGATTAACTTTCACAGAGACCTTTGGTGAACTCTAATTCGATTTTGTTTCCAACCTTTTTGAATCATACTGTCTTTTAACAGCTGAAAGGGCGTCATATACAGTATGGGCCGAGTGTATTCGTCGATGCCAACACTGCATGATAACAGTGCCACAAATAATTGAAGAAACATCAGGGAATTGCTGAACTTGGTAAAGCTTCTCAACTTCGTCACTAAGAATGTCCTTGTAGGGATAAGAGCCTGTCATTATAAAGTAAACGAGAGACCCAAGACTGAAAATATCATCCTCAAATACTGGAGGAGCATTCCAATCATAGCCAGGGTGTCGGAACCTTGTTGCTGGAGTGGCTGAGGGATCTGAGCCGCACAGCGAAGCGCCGCCGAAATCAGCGATTTTAACATCAAGGTTCAGGTCAAGAAGGAAGTTCCTTGGGGACAAATCGCAGTGTATAATCTGAAGAGCATGGAGAACACCAAGCGCTTTAGCAGCCTGTCTACTCCATTTGAGTTGAAGTTGAGGTGTGATGTTTTGCATGCTCTGCGGAACATATTCTTTAAGATTCCCGTTCTCCAGATACTCCATGGTGAGGCAGCAGGTTTCTTGGTCCCAGTGAATGATCCTGGGGACACATGGATTCTCTCCTATCATGGCGTATATCCTGGCCTCAAGACGCATATTTCGACGATGATCCTCTTCTTCAGGAGGGCAATATGGATTTGGGATGGGTGTCTTCACAACGGCACCAGAAGGTAATCGTTCGAGAACGGCCGTCCCACCCCAGGCCAAAACCTTGCCTTTGGTAACATATATAACTTCACCGTGTCGTGTTTCTGAGGTCTTTTTGGGACAGGAACGAGGTGAGGAATCAGCTCCTTCTTCCGACCCGGGAACACATATGTATGTGATATTGTTGGGATATGGTTTGGATATCCTTTCCATTGTTGATGACATGAATATTTTTTATATTGACAAGGTGGGGCATAAAAGGTTGGTGGAGTGACAAAGAACGGCCTTTGGACCTCAGTTGGAGGGCATCTAGGCACCTGCAGGGTTTCTGCTGGCCCAACCACCCTGTGTAATTTAATACCGAACGCCTATCACATGACCTTTGACATTAACACCATCTAAGTACATCCATAGGTAGATGGATACTACTTTTTGTGTTATATATTGATGCTATACAAGAATAGCGTCTGTGGTTCTTTTTGGCAACGTTTCTCTTTTTTTTGGAAGTTTTCTTAAATATTCTCTTAGCAAAAAAAAATGGTGGCCATAGTCTTTGAAGATAATAATCTCTCTCATATATCTCCGTCAAATATTCTGTATAGTCTATCAGAATCCAATCGTCCATAGGGGATGACGGAGTAAGAACCTAGGAAGTGGAGCTCAGGGAGGATTATGACAGGTTGAAATCGGGTGGTACGCGTGTTTTTTTGGGCTTTGCCAAGGCGATCTCCACAAACGCCTCAAGAGGCCGTAAGTTATGTGGGAGTATATGTACAAAAGTAATTGTACCTATGGACGCTGTATGTATAATGTAAGCCTGGCCCCAAATAACTAAGCATTCCAAGGTTAGGTAGTTTTCCCTGTTTAATAGAACCCGGAAGAATTATTTCCCTCGCGTGCTCACCTACTATTTTAGTCTTGGCGGGGGCGGGAATATCAGATTAGAAGTATTCTGCCCTATGATGATAGACATACGATGATCATTTCCATCAATAGATTATTTCCACACAAAATGCCTATGCACGTGTAGAAGGTGGAGTTTCGGAGTGCTCTTGCCCCCCTATGTGGACCCTTTTTGCATCTTCCATGATTATTCTTTTTCGAAGCTCTCTCCTTGTTTTTGTTCTCTGAGCCTTGGTTCTTCCCTCTTGCGCCTCTTCGGTTACCTTAATGACTAGGGAATTTTTGTTCTTTGGCTAGTTCAAGTACAACACTCTTCAATGATTTGACGCATTCCAGTGTTTCCGTACATATCATGAAACCCGCCTGGCAGCTGCAAGGGGGCGGGCTCACCCAACGGCTGCGTGGGAAGCTTGAATCTGCAGCCACCTTCGCCATCAAAGTCGCCAAATCCCCTCAATCACATATTGACCATGGCTGGACAGCTTCTCGCGCATATTTCTTTTCAGTCATTTTTATCTCCGTCCTGCTCTCCAAAGCCTTCCACATCTACGCCCATCTCAATGCGCTGACGGTATTATCCCTTCTCGCATGGGGCCCCACATTCTTTTTCCTGGATATTTTGATCATTCTGGGCGCGCGTGGCCTGGCCCGATCATACCAATGGCGAACGACTCGGGATATAGCGGCTGTGTTCACTGCGTTATTCAGGTCGGTGGTCCTCGGATTCACGGACAAATAATGAGCGAATTGCTAATTATCTTCCAGTCTATATACCTCGTCCATGATTTCCGCCAACATCTCCCATTACATCCACAAGGGCTCGGAGATCCACTGGCGCTTATCGCACACCTTCCACAAGGGCAATCCCACTGCCTTACTTGTTTTGTCAGCCCTGTTTGTCGCTATCTTTCTCGAGGCGTCAATTTTGGTTGGCGCATTCTATGCCACACCGTATCTATCCCGGGCTACGGGAGCCTTCCTGAGGGTCTGGGGTGCGGTATTGTCCGCGACATACCGCTACTTCCGTCGGGATAAGCAAGCTCTGCCGCACCCAGATACCTACGAGCAAATTGCAATCGATGAATTTGACGTGGGTGATGACAACGACTCCGTGTCGCTGCTGGATATGCCTCAAGACCCGCCTCCACAGAAGAGTCGGGCATTACTGAAGCCCGCTATCGTGGTATCCTGCAGCGCAATCCTCCTTTTCCTCTGTGTCATTCGTCCCAGCGACGTGGTGTATAGTTTTCTTTCCGGATCTCTCCCTCTCGCCCCGTTTGGTGGTCTCAAGTTTGGGTCTTCTCGGCGAAGTGTCGCATCGTTGCCGGGCGATTTCAGCTGGCTAGAAGGACAAACTGCTCTAGACAACTTCCCGACATTCGACTGGTTACATACGGGCGATGCGGCAACTGCCTTCCCGGATTGGTCTCCTTTCCGCATTAACCATCTCAACAACACCGCACCCAAAGACTATTTGTATGAACACTACAACCCGATGAAAGATCCTTTACATACTCCCAATCTCCAGAATGACATTCTAGAGTCCATCCGTGACGTGCTCCACAGCGGAGACATGAAGATCAAGCATGTTATGGTCATCAAATTAGAGAGCAATCGCCAGGACGTGTTTCCCTTCCGCTCCGACTCCTACATCATGGAGCACATCAAAAATTCTTACAATGGAAACATTCCCGAGGAGGTTATGGGTAGACTCGCCAATCTCACTCCCACTGCCGAAAGGTTCACCGGATTTGAGACTGGATTCAACGAGGACAAGGATCGTCCAACACCATATGGTGGTCTTAGCGCGAAAAAGGCATACACATCCGGTACATACACCATGAAGAGTATTACAGCCACTATGTGCGGTGTAAGCCCCATTGCTGTCCAAGGTAACCTTGAGTATCTGCACGATATTTACCAGCCTTGCCTGCCACACATATTCGACGCGTTGAACCAACAATCAAACATTACCAATCAGACTGACGATTGGACCTCCTGGCCATGGCATTCTATGTGGATGCAGTCCCACTATGGTACCTGGGACCATCAGGATGGGCTTACGCCTGCCATGGGATTCAAAGATATCACGACAAAAGAATCAATTAATGAAAATGGCGCTAAATACATTCCAGAGGAGCCAGAGGAGGAGCAGCAATATGGTCATCCCGATCACACACTCAAAAACTACATGCGGGATGCATTCGCCGAGGCGAAGAAGAACAACACTCGTCTCTTCATCGGCCATCTAACTCACAATACTCATACTCCTTGGTTCAAGCCTGGGGAGTACGAAGAGTACTTCGGCAATGGCCTTGGATGGAACGACAAGTTGAACCGGTACCTTAATACCCTCAAGTATCAGGATGACTGGCTAGCCACGATCCTCGAGATCCTTGAAGAGGCTAGAGTCATCGATGAGACCCTGCTTGTCATGGCAGGTGACCAGTAAGTTATATCCACTCCTTACAGACTATGAGATTCTAGTGTTCTACCAAAGCATAAGCACAATGTGGCATATAAAGTTATTAACCCGGTTGCAGTGGTTTGTCTCTTCCAAACGATGGTGGTGTAACGGCCAACCATGACCCCCATGTAGGCAGTTTCCACGTGCCCCTACTGATAGCCCATCCCAAGCTACCCCCGGTCGAAATCAGCAGCGCCGTCATTGCGACTCAAATGCTCCCCAGCATTCTCGATATTCTAATCGAAACCTCTTCTATCAACGAGCAGTCGGCACATATATTGAAGGACTTGCTCCCCTTATACGAAGGCCAGTCGCTACTACGTCCACTTGTCCCTGAGCAGGACAAAAAGCAAGAGTGGCATTTCTCCACAATGAACCCGGGAGGAACGTGGATCTCCATGCGAGCAGCCGCCAAGCCATACCGTCTAGTTGTGCCTCTTATCCCAGATGCTCCATGGCGATTCAGCGATGTTGTCGCCGACCCATTTGAGTTCAAACCCGAGGAAGACATGAACATCGTCTCCCTGTATGATGTTGTGCAGACACGGCACGGGCCCGAGGCCGCGACATGGCTTAGTGAGGCCGCCCATATCTCTCAGTGGTGGATTGCGGAGAACCACCGACGCTGGAAGTTCAGTCCTGATGATCCGACGAGCTGAAGTTCCCTTTGACAATGCCATAGATCCAGCAACAAGAAGAGAACGCGGAAAACCTGGTGCTAGACTCCGGTAAGGCACCTGCCAAATGGGATGCGAATCCAGCCGGACGCGTTTCCGGGAAATTGCACTGCTTGTACATACATAATACTGTGCTATGGTCCGCATCCAGCGCCATTTGTCCGTGCATTCGATAATGCACATAGGGAGGGTTTGACTTGTAGATTCCCCAAGGAATAAATCTATCAAGAAAACCGTCCAGCTGATGACACCGAGACAATCGGACGATTTCTTTCATTTCTTCACCTGCAATTTTACGATACCTTGTTCGATTTATGAAAGCTATTATTCATCTGTCAGAAGTGATGACCACTTTGGATTTTGATTCTTTTAGCTTTGATTACCTACACGCGATAGGCATTATAGACTGGGGCTCGAACTCGAAAATCCTAATAACCCACCGCCCATCGTAGACGGGCAATACTGTAGTGTAGTAAATAGGAATCTGGTATTTTCTCTATCTCAACAGGGGCGCTTTTATAACAAAAGCACCAAAGAAGTGACCCAACAAATTGTCATCATCATCACAGCTGTGTGGCAGTGTGCTTCCACCCCTCACAGTCCTGCAAGTCATACTTGAATCACACATTCCTCTGCTCCATCCTTTGACCCACCGGTATATATAACATTGCCCTAAAAAGTTGAGCCTGAGTCTCAACGTATTTCCCAGATTAGGTGAAATTTGGGAACCGGGAGGGACCCGCGAGTCAGCGGGAGGGAAACCCCCCATAAAGTGAAGTACCCGGACGGCCAGCGAAGCAGATGCGAGAGTTTTCCCCGGAAGGGTCGCGGGGTGAGACAGCCCGCTAATTGTACGAGCGTTGAGCAAGACTAAATGTAATGTGGCTGCGTGGTGACAACCAATAGTGATCGATAGATACATGAGTCGTGTACTGAAGTTGTATTGCCGCTTGAACGAGGACGGTCATGGACTGACCGCTACCTAAACAGGCGATTCTTGGCATGAGCCTGTGAGTCTGAGTAAATTACCTATTTGGGTAATTCTTGGCAGATGTGAGAGCAGCAGTGTTGTTAGTTCGCGTTTCCATCGTGGCTGTGTCAATCCTATATAGTTTGCGTGATACCCATCAATTCCAGCTTCCATAGTACCCAAATATAACAGTCACCCAAAGTCTGCCTGCACTCAAACCATGGCTGTATCAATCGACTTTATAGTTGACCTGATCTTCAACCTTACGAGCCTCATCACCGACCTCATCACCATATGGCAGAATCAGAAAATATTAGCCATGAAGCAATGTCGTATGTTTGTTCAAAGACAGACAGAACTTGCAGCCATTAACCCTAGTCCTGACAATAATGTATAGCACAATATGTCTCGTTGAACGATATCAAAGCGGATGGGCCCTCCCAAGTCAGTGCTCCAGTTACCGAAAGAGCGCCTGTCATTTCGGGAAAGAGAAAGAATGAAATATCCACCTTACATTTCTTCTCATCCAACGAAGCCGCCTAAAGCCATCGTCGGAGAGAAATTGTACAATTCAGGCTTGAGTAGTATAGTTGAGATATCGGAGCTATAGGACCGGCGTCTTCTTGTTACGGCCCAGGTTGGGATCAGGCGGTCATAACTAGGCCTTGACATATCCCGTGCAACGTCCACCATGGCGCCCATGGGAATTCCCACTAGATTGTGAATAAGTTAATTCTCTTATTAGCCTACTTATGAGTAGTTTGTATCTATACACTCGAAGTAAGTTAGTCAATCATCGGTATAAAAAATCAACTTATAGAGAACAAGAATAATCGGCCACGCATGCGTCCTTGGGATGTTTTTTTTTGGGTAGTCTTCTCAAACATTCCTTTTATATGTCTTTTTTTTAATAGATATTCTGTCCCCCGACGATCCCCTTTAATTCTCTACTTCTTCTTCGGGGGCGCAACATTGAACTGGAAGTGGATAATATCACCATCCTGGACAAGATAAGTCTTACCCTCCTGTCTGTACTTTCCAGCAGACTTGATGGGTGCCATCGACTTCTCACCGTTGCAGAGATCATGGAAATCCTGGTAGGCGACAACTTCAGCCTTGATGAAACCGCGCTCAAAGTCGCCGTGGATAACACCAGCTGCTTGGGGAGCCAGGGTTCCCTGCTTGATCGGCCAGCAGCGGATCTCTTTCTCGCCGGCAGTGAAGTAATACTGCAGTCCGAGCTTAGTGAAACCTGCCATGATTGTTAGTATAAAACACGGTATGTGAGGCAAATATATAATAGCGGAGCCATAACATACCTTCGGTAGTGATCTTTCCCAAGCGGCTCTGGACCTTAATATCGGCCATGAAGGCATCTAGCGCTGCCTTGTCCTCCCTCATGGACCACAACTTCTCCTCAAACTCGACGGAGAAGGGGATGATATCTGTGCCTTGGCCGCCGTGGGCCTTAACCCACTCTGCAATCTTGGGCAGGTATTTGCATTTTTGGCGGAGGTAATCCTTCATCGTAAGGTTGATGAGGTAGATTACGGGCTTGGTAGTGATGAGGCGCAACTTGGTATTGTTAGTATTGTCTCTGACATCGGGAGCATCGTGGAATCCTGGACAAACCTTCTCGTTGATCAACTCAATTTCAGGAGTTGTCCACTCTCCATCTCTGACGGGCTTATCCTGTTCCAAGAGCTGGAAGGAGTTAGTAAACTTGTATACATGTGGATATCTTCGAAAGGAGACCGTGACATACCGCCTTGATCTTCGCAGTTGTCTCGTCGAACAGCGGCAGCATCTTAAACTTGCCTCCAGCCTTGCGCACAATTGCCTCTTCGGCAATCTTGGCTTTCTGGAGAATATCCAGATCCTTCTTACACAGCTCGCTCTGGATCGTATCTGCGCCACGGCACTATTAGCGTATATTTCTCATGCGTCCTGTAACGGGGGAATGCCTACCCAAGTCACGGACAGGATCAACGGAGTCATCCACATGAAGAACCTCATCGTTATCAAACGCCCTATGTAACAATAAGTAGCTACTTCACTCGTCAAGTTTCCGCGACAAACGTACCGAACAACGTGGTACATGCCATCGACAGCCTGGATATGACTCAAGAAAGCATTTCCCAATCCAGCTCCCTCACTGGCTCCCTTGATTAGACCCGCGATGTCGGTAACCTGCAAATACGCAGGGTATTTACTCGGTGGGTTCCAGACCTTGCACAAGAAGTCCTATCTCACACTATTAGCTATGGTGTTCATATAAGTGTAATAAAAGTATAAGTGTCATACTACACTATTTTTTTATTAAGAGCCTCCTGCTAGCTCTGGAGGGGTAATATCCATCACGTGGAAATACCCGCACAGAAATCGCAGTGGAACAAACGTACATATCTTGGATCAGGGACACTGCAGCGCGCTTCATTTGGCTCAATGGTGCAGAATGGGTAATTTTCTGCTGCTGCGCTCTGCTCTGTCATGAGGTTGAACAGCGAACTCTTGCCGACGTTTGGCAGGCCAACACAACCCATCTTGAGGTTGGACTTGACGCGCCCGAAGGCAACGACATTGTTCGTCGGGGCTTCAACTGCTTTCTTTGGGGCCATAGTGATAGTTATCGCTGGGAGGTTTTGTTTGTCTACGGTGGTTCCTAAAGGCTAGTGTGCGCTTCAGATTTTTCTATATTAATCAAGGACTTTATTGCATGAGGGTGGAGCAAGAAGGAATAACAAGCCAATTGTATTACTGTACTTGGTTCTCATCATGTTATTGGTCGACTGTCATTCATTACTCCACTTTGGAATAACGGTCTCCTGGCATCGGGAAAAGATCGGCGGAATATGTAACCTGTCAGTAGTGGTCTTTGACCCAAAATCTACAAAACAAGGGCATTGATTACAACTTTATTGCTTGAATTGATTGTCTTTCAGTAAGCTTATTATTCTGGTTTGATCTCCAGATATCGTCCAGGCCCCGAGGCGTTGGGAAACGAAGCTATACATCTACTGTTCATGGAGAACAGCGCACACAAGCTCATCTACTTTCTTGCGCGATTCCTTGATCTCTTGCTCGAGGCTATTTCGCCTCGGCACTTCCATATCCACCACCTTCCTGGCCACCTCCTCCCCGCTGCGACCCCTGTCTATGTTGTCTGTTAATCTTGCCACAGACACTTGGATCTCCTTGAGCAGCTTTTCGGCGTTGCTCTCCTGCCATAAATCATCGAGCAGGTGAGAACAGCATATTGAAACCTCAGTTAGTCCTATAATTTGATATTATGGTCTCAAAATCGTCGCGTGTATGCCAAAGCGTGCCGAGTGGACCGTGTTGGATTTTCAGTTGCAGCATCTCTTAGATGGGATATATTCATAAGGCACGTGAAGAGGAATGTAAGGAAAAGGTTGTCTTGCCAGTGGCCATTTGGAGGAAGTACGAAAGCTTTGGCTCAGCTCAGACCGGTGTTTCTTTAGAAGACAGGAGAAATTAGTGAAGGACAACCGAAATAGAATTGGGACATAGCTCGCCTTGTTTGGACTCTTCTTGGCTGGACAAGTCATAACCGAAATAGCGTTACTTGTGGCTAAATGAAGACTGAGATTGATGAAAAGATACATATGGGAAAATGATAGTGAAGTTGAAAATGGACAAACAGAGGCTTTGACGTAAAGAAAGAGCGATCTATAGCCCGTTCGAAGGGAAAGAGTAACGTTTATGGAATGTGTCACATTTTACAGTATGTGGCCAGTCATTATACTTTAGACTTAACGCCAAGGGGGAAAAAGGAATGAAGAAGAGACATCTGGAAAGACATCTGAGAGCATGGACGTCTCTTATCGAAAGATTGTCAATTCAACTTTTGATGTATCGTTTGAGCGGGAAGATACTATGGGAATAGCTAGATGATGCTAGAAACAAGAAAAGGGTCAACTTTTGGCATACTGTAGAAATAGCTTCAACTCGACTTATCCGCTGACTCGCGAGGGCAAGGTCCAGACTCCATGCCTGAAGGACCCCTTCTCCGTCATCAACTCTTTTCACGTTTTTCTGTGAAGTCAGGGTGTCTTACGTACACGCAGGGCTTCTACCTACTGGAGTATCACAAATAGTCTCAAACGAATCCTGAAGACTCACAACTGTCGAATACATGGAAATCAGGCTCCTCGAAATTGACTTACAGGCAGGATTTCCCCAACCTAGATAGCTTTCTTCTAAGCCAGGGCTCAAGATGATCCACCTTGTAGTAATTAAGGCTAGATTATTACCATCCTTTTATAGTTGAAGCTCAAAATCTGTGTTGCATTTGTTAAAAGTGCTGGGTGGATGCAGAATAGTGGTGTTACAGGGCAGTGGGCAGTCAAGGGGCAATGGAAAGGCAGCCGTTTCTGGCCTCAAAAGCGGTCATTTTCGGCGCCAATCCCACAGGTCCTCATATTCTAGTTTTAATAAAAATGCATTCTTTAACAAATGCCCTCTATAATGGAATTTATCACGCGTAGTTGTTTAAATAGTTATCAAAAAATTGGGGTTCTTGGTAGGTGCCCGCTCACTTAAGAATCATCTGATTGCAGATGTGCAAACGCTGAATAGCTGAGTTGAGGTCTTTTCCTCTTCAGGCCATGTGGAGACCCGGAGATTCTTTGTTCGCACGTCATCTCTTGACTCTCAACATATTCTTCCTCTCCAGTTCTTCAACTGGCCTGTCCAAATTCAACCATATCCTGCGCTTTTAGTCTATACATTTGAGCTTACAATTATGTTCAAAAAGAAGCCTACGGTAAATAGCCCTTCCCCCGCACTACCCCTCCAAGCTTTGCCAGGTGCAACGCGTGCAACGCTCTTACTACAAAAGAACCTATGCTAATATAGAATAGATCAAAAACCTTTCTCCACTACGGTCTTCTGATCGTAGGAAGATTGCTGACCAAATTATCAAGGATTACCAGATCTCCGTTACCTCAACCCCCACCAAAGCAGACTCGTCCGCGCCCAGCACAGAATCTGCCCCCGCCTTGAGTCTTACATCGATCCGGAATGCCCTCCTGCCCGATAACACTCAAACTGCTCGTTTTACAACCACCGCTGGTCCAGACCTTCGTGAGCTTCAAGGGATCGTGTATGTTGGCACACATCCCGATGGTGATGAGCGGGTGTTATGGTTTAAGCTGGAACACGGCCCGGGGGCCGACAAACAACTATACCCAACTATCTATACACTATGGCACAACCCGAATTTAGTTCCCTTACTCTACACCCCGGAATTTGTGATGGGGAAGCTCCATGGTGGAGCTGACTTGATGACACCGGGCCTTGCGAATGAACCTCCTTTCCCCGCAAGGGCGGTCAAGGGCGCCGTTGTCGCAGTCGCGAGTATAGACAGCCATACAGTGCCACGTTTTGTAGGCATCTGTGAGATCGATGTTTCGGCATTGGGAGAAGTTCAAGGCACGAAGGGCCATGCAGTCCGTGGATTGCATTGGGAGGGCGATGAGCTTTGGGCGTGGAGCTCTGCGTCACTGCCGGGTCGACCAGCTCCAGAGTACTTGAAGGGCTGGGACGAGGATGAGACCAAGGGATTCGAGGAACAAATCGAGGAGTTGAAAATTGAGGATGATGAGGCTACAACCGCCTCAGGGGACACTGAAACACCCAGCAATGACCCAACTGCGGACGAGGAACCTGCTGCAGAAGAAGAGGCACCCACAACAGAAGGTGAGCCATCCATCCCCTCCCTTCCTCTTTATCAGCCAGATACTGACAAATAACAGAAATTGATGAGGCGTTTGTCAATGCTTTTGTCTACGCCCTCTACAAGCTCAAACAGGATAACCCATCAGCGACCGACCATGGTGTTCCACTGCCAATCACAGCTTCGGCATTGATAGCTAACTTCACTACTCCTTATCTTCCTGTGTACACCCCCCAACAGGCCCAGCATTACAACATCAAAAAAACCAGTTGGAAGAACGTCAAAAAGTTCATGAAACATCTCGACAAATCCAAGCTTGTCAAAACTAAGGAACGTAATGGCCAAGAGACGGTCATTTTGGATGTAGACTTTGAGGATTATCGGATCCAGCGATTTGTGCCATACAGACTGCCTTCGCCGCGTGCCCTGGAGAACAGTAAAACGGCTGCACCTGAGGGCAAAAAGTCGGCTGCGACGGATGGCTCCGACCCTTCAGTGGGCCAGACGATCACTGTGCAAAGCTTGTATCGGCCATCAGGAAAGCTGGTGCCAAATATTTTCCCTGCCCTCCCCGCCAGCGACACAAATAACTTCTACAAATACTCCGATGTATCCAGTCATTTGGATCAATATCTTGAATCCCAAAATCCACCAATCATCTCAAAAGAGAACCGCCGCATCATAACCCTCAACCCATTCCTCGCGAACTCCGTCTTCACTTCATCATCAACCGAAGATAAAGGGACACTCGCACGCGGTAAGGTCACTCGCGATGGTCTTTTGAAACGGCTCATGGATGATAAAACACTACTCTCGCCATACCATGTCATTTTGAAGACCGGTCAAACTATTGCAGACGTCAAGCCAAAAGCCGGTACCGCACCCAAGGTCACTGTCACTCTCGAGAAACGAACGGGTTCTAAGACTGTTACCAAAGTCATGACTTTGGAAGTCTTCGGTATCATTCCTAGTTTGTTAGCACAGGAGCTACAGAAGAAGTGTGCCGGCAGCACTAGTGTCACACAGGCTACTGGTGCCCCCAAGGGAATCATGGAGGTTTTGGTTCAGGGCGACCAGCGAAAGGCCATTGAGACAGCTCTTATTCGCCGTGGATTGAAGCCACAGATGATCGAGGTTGTGGATAAGACCAAGAAGAAGAAATGATCGCCAAAAGATTATTTCTATATATCACCGCTAGATATAAGGCGTGTTTCCTGTACAAACAATAAAATAACCTGCAGCATAGCTCTAAAAATGAAGAAAATGCGCATGATGGGATGGATAAAACTACTTTCCCAGATACCCTTTCTCTAATTTATCGCCATAGAAACCCACTTAGGCACCTGAATCACAGAAAGCCCATTTCCGGGCCAACATTTAATTAAATATCACTCTGTTGCTTTAATTCCTCTTCATGGCCCTCCCCCGTTCCATTCGTCAATTTCAATTCGCTCTCACCACCTTGTCCTCCATTGCTGTCCCCGTTCCCGTTCCTATCCCTACTATTCTCCGGTGTCTCCGTATAATCGATACCACCGATATCAACAGCCTCCCAAATATCATCCTGGAACAAATACTGCATCAAAGCCTCATCCGTACGACGGGTCCCATCCGCTATGAGCGTATCTATCCTGTGGACCAAATCATACGTAACGAAAATTGCACCGGCGCTCGAATCTGCAGCGAGAGCCTCTAGTCTCTGTCGTTCCTCGTCAGTAAGATGACTTGCATGGCCCGGGTTATCGGTGTAGATCTCTGTGCGTCGCGCATTATCTGGTCGTTGCTGTGTGGACTCGTGTATGCCGGAAATGCTGGGTTCGGTGCTTGGTCCCGGGTTGGCAGCTGGGTTGGAGGTATTGCTGCTCTCGGCTCTGTTGGTATCGGTATCCTCTGGTGTTGGCATTGTGGTTCTCTTTTAGTTTTTGATGGAATTCTTATATAAAGGTATTGAATGGCTTGGAAATGATGTGGCTTTTTGCGATTTTAAATGAAGTTGATTGCATGTCAGAGTCGACGGAGAAGAATGACCCGAGAGTTTATACAGCACATGATTTCACGCTTTCCACATGCCCTCACGCTGCCTTGTACTCCAGGGCTTCATTCGTATATAAAGTCTGTGCTACCTGACACTCTTATCCTGAGTGGATTTTATGACTACGACTCTCTGCGACTTGGAAGATTTTACGTCAAATATACCTAGTAATATGATGAGAGCTCCTTGTTATCATTGAAAATCTGTTGGGTGTACTGCAATCTGGAACAGGGTGTTAACAGTATCGAAGTTGATGTTTGTTGACAGTCCCCCGGGTATTTAATCCATGAGATATTCCTCATAGCAGAGAAGGCTGCGAGAACAGAAATAAAAATTGGCTTATCCTTATCATGGATACATGTAGGTAGTAATAACCAATTTATATGTTTATATGGTCCTAAAATGTCTTATCACTTGGATATTCAGACGCCCGCCGTTCAGGGCTCCCAAAGTCCGATGCTCTCCTGTCAAGTCATCTAGTACCTAAAGTCTTTTATCTCTAGTTACACATAAACAGTCGTTTTATGATTTGTATTGCCTTCAGATATTCCCCCCTGCTGAAAAGTGCATCTTTAAAGAACGACATCCAAGAAAGACATCGGAGTGTTCTTGCATATAGAGTTTCCTACATCCATTGGTTAGGGCTAGAATGTCCGACGACAATGAACCTTTCGGATTATGTTCCTCTCCACCTACTATATCTTCCTTGCTGGTCTTGACATATTGGTTTTCATTTTCTTCGTCTACATGAAGATAGAAAATAGAGCAGCGAGTTATCCCTGTGATACTGATAGAGCTGTTTCGGTTTTTGGATGATATGTACGACATATAGAATGGGAGACCAAGTAAAAAGCTCCTATGATCCAGGAAACTTAATAGGAACATACTCTTGGAAACGAATAAAGTCATACGCATGTTATATCTGACGCTAGACAATATACTGTATGTCAGGTGAATGTTGCTTCTACGAGTCGGCCGTTGACCATGGCTTTCCCTTGCACTTGCCCTGCCTACCCGTGAACATCCTCCGACATAACAAAGCTTATTCCCTCTCCGACACAGGCAACACATTTCTCTTGTCTTCACTCACTCCCATTCTTATTGTCTTCAGCACATACCTGTACCTTTCGAAGCACGCAGATCCTGGTTGGATTCCGAATCTCAGGACTATTTCTCTTTCTCATCCCCAGGTCTTTCGTTCCCTTTCTCTTGTCTTGACTTACTCCCGGTTTATTACTTTCAAATTTCCCTGGGATGGTGTAATGGCAGCACAGCGCCCTGACGGGTAGGCTTGTGTCTGGGACACATACCTATGCTTCTCGAAGCTCGCAGATTGGTTCGATTCCGGGTCTCAGGATTCTTTTTTTTCTTGAGTCTTTAGTTGTTCATCCTATTCCCTTAACACCATACTGTATATGTCGGTCTTTTTCATCATTCAAAGCTGTTTTTCTACTCCATTCAGTCATTTCGCATCTTTATCTATCGTTTCCATTCACATGTCTTACAAATGATGTCTTTTTTAATTGAAATTATCAACTACATACATATGGCGCAAATGACCTACCACGTGATAGCACGGGTATAGTCGTAAAGTTTAGTGCCTCCACAGGGAAATCGCAACTCTCAGCCCTTAAATAAGCATGTTTTCTTGCAATCATGGCAATTTTCATGCTAGAGATACGATTGAGACCTTAAATGGCCCGGATCCCTGGCCTAGTCCTCGATTCCAAACTGAGGACTATATTTGTCCCCGACTCGAACGAGACTGTCCGCACATACGAAGAATCGGACCCCACTGCTAGACGGCGACTTGTTTCTAGGATGGAACATTGGAAGCGACAAAAGAAAACTGGAAGAGGGGGTTGCGGGTCTGTGTGTCTGGAACAATGCATTAAAGGCAGACGGGAAACAGATCTTCGAGCCGTTCAGAAGATTGAGACTACTAGGCAATTTGCCAGCATTGGTTATCTTCAGGAGGAAGCCGTAGCTAAGTTCTCACATTCAAGGGTTAGTTCCCCGAAAAATGTTATTAGAAATTGTTTCTGAACCGCTTCTAGTACGACCGATGTTTCGTCAAGTCATTTGGATGGTACGAGATTCCCGATGCTCTGTTCATTGTAATGGAGCATCTTGAACTAGACGATCTATGGCACTATTTGCGTGACCGACCACCGCTGCCCATAACAGAAGCAAGGGAGAGTGCTCATCAGATTCTCGAGGGTCTTCTTATGATGCATGAGAATGAATTTACCCATAGAGATCTTTGAAACATTTCAGAGCTATAGTATACTTAAGAATGATATATTTAAAGTCAGCGAGAGGCAAAACATGGTTTTACTCCTCCTATGAAAGCTTTGAACAAGATAAACGACTCGAGTTATATTTTTTTGAGAATCCTAATTAGTCCCTGGTACATAGAAAGCTCCCTATGCGGTTTATAATTTTTGTCGCATTCAGATACATCTTAAAAGAACATCCCAAAGCCCAATAGAGTGCTCTTACATACAACGTTTCAAATCTTATCTTTAGTCAAACTACGTACCTCGTCGAGGACTGCAGCCACATGAACGGTCGACTATTCTTGTTCTCGGTGACTTGGCATGGAATCGGTGATTTCAACGATAACCCTAAGTCGCCGACTTGCCACGACTTTCACACCCGGTGGAAGTAAGATCAGCTCTGTCGTGCATTTCGACAGCGGTTACATTTTTCTCTGCATGTTATGTGCATCATGTTGCATCGCAGGAATGCATTACAACTTCAGTCGGATTCGTCACCTGCAACCGACGGACTCCGGTGTTGCCATGATTCCACTTTCTTCCATTCAACTGAAGGGTTACATACAGGGGAGGAAACGAAGTCCAGAAATATAGGCTTCTATTCAAACAGTATTGAACGATTCGAGCAAAGAACCCACAAAAACTATAGCATATATATGCAGAGAGATATAGAAGCATATCATTGGCTTCTCGGGGATATTTTATCACCAAAAGCCTATGCGGTGTTTGTAGGATCTTATAGTGCGTGTTCATCTACAATGTAACAAGATTGAGCAACCTAGCAATTCCATTCATAAAGGTAAAGTAGAAAAAAAGACCGAAGCAGATCTATCGTCTCCTGTGCAAAAGGCTAGGAGGAAAAAGAAAAGAAATCCGTAACACGGTGTTGTTACAATCAGTCCAAATTGAACAATCAACAAAAAGACAGGATACCCGATCCAGATCTCAAAGACGTTCAATATCAAGATTCACATGAAGATATATAGAAATAGATGTAAAGTCATCCAAGGCTATAAATCAAGCGCGCAAAGCGAGCATTTTAGTAAGAAAGCGCACGGGCGTGGACCTTCTTGTCAGAGACAAGCCACTTCACGGTTGTGCGGATGACCTCGAGGAGCTTCTCAGCGCTCAGGGAGCTGAGGTACTTGGAGAAGTCCTTAGGGTCCAGCTGAGAGCCGGAGCCGGAGCTAGAACCGGAGCCGGAGCCTGCGGTGGGTGCGGCGGTAGGGGCAGCAGTGGCAGTGGTAGTGGCGCTAGGCTCGGAGGCGTCACCACCAGCAGCGGGAACAGAGCTCTGGGCGGACTGGCCGGGGGAGGTGGTGGTGATAGTGACGCTATCGGCGGGACCGCTGGCAGTCTGTGTGGCAGCCTCGTCAGTAACCTGAGTAGCAGTGGAAGTGAAAGTGGCAGTGGCAATGGCAGTGGCAGTCTCGGTCACGACAGGAACCCCGGTAAACTCGGAATCAATTCCAGTAGAGATGGAAGTTGAGAGAGTAGGCAAGGGAGTAGACGAGGGAGTAGGGGTGCCGCTGGGGCTGCGGGTGGGACGGCGGGTGAAGTGCGGGTGCGCGAACGAAGAGGAGCTCTGGGCAGGAGCACTCACGGTTGAGGCAGGGGCAGTAGGCGCGGCAGTGGTGGCTGCGGCGGTGGTCTCGGTAGCGGAGGGAGCAGTGGTCTCGGAGCCCGAGGAAGCGCCGGTGTACAGAGCGGGACCGGGGATCTCGTAGGAGTCCATGGAGGTGTAGATGTTGACCAGAATGCCGGGATCGGCGGCCTTGTAGAGGGCTGTGCCGAGCACGCCCTTAGGAGAGTCGCTGCCGCCACCGGTGACCTTCAGGTTGAGACACTGGGGGTAGTTCTGGGCACCGTTGGTCTCGCCAGCGGAGTGCAGGGCAATGATCTCATGACGGAGAACATAGTTGCCGGAGGCGATAGCGCTGGGGATGGTCACAGTGTAGCTGTTGTTGGAGGCAATGAGATCGTCAGATGCCCATTTACCGGGAACGCTGCTGTCGTCGATCAGACCGGCCTCATCGATCTTGAAGAACTCAAGGGTGGCCTTGTCGACCTTGGAGCAGTCACCATTGCAGTTGGCCATGTAGGTGATGACGGGGCCGTGGTGGCTCTCGGGCCACTCGGTCCATTGCAGCTCGATAGAGCCACCGGCCTTGATCTCGGCGGAGATCGCACCGGGAGTGGCATCCTTGTGGCAAATAATGTCGGGGCCGGAGTAGCCGGTGCTGTCAACGAAGCCGAGATCGGTGGCAGTCTCGGCCCATCCGAAGTTCTCGGGCACCTCGGCCATATAGTTGTAGGTGTCGACAATGAAGCCCTTCTGGTAGGTGCCATCAACAACAGCACCCGACACGTAACCGTGACCAGCGACCATGGCGGCCGAGCTAAGCAGGAGGCCAGCAATCTTTGATACAGACATCTTGTAAGGGTGGAGGATAAAAACGCGCAGCGTTGGATCGAAGGATCAGAGTATCAAAGATGAGGAATAAAAGAATGAAAAGGGGACTTCAGTCAATGAAGTCAAACCCAAAAAAGAGAATGGATGGTACTAGACCTTGAAAAGAATGGAATGCAAAGGATGGATGAGTAAAATCATGTTGAGGCGCTGATGCCAGAGCCTTATATATGCAGGTCCTCGCCGGCACCATAGCTCCTTTCCAACAATTGCCAAGAAATTCTCATCACAGAGGATCCAACGGAGTTCAACGGGTTTCTGAAATGGGACAAGGATTCCACCAGTCTGTGAGTGCGCCCATAGGCGGAGAATTGTTAGCGACCGAGACACCCCCTCTACAAGGTGACAGATAGATGAAGCATGTGGTCTTTAAAGCGCCGGATGTTCCCAGGGCTGCACTAGCGGCCCACTAGTGAACAAACGTAATTAAGCTATGCTCTATCTAGGTCACTAAGGAGCATCAAGGAGGGGCGTTTCACACTGTGTCATATCTCTAGTTGGTGGCTGTCGATCCTGGGCGGTTGTCTGTGACAGTTGGAGTTTCACCCCTTAAAAGTGACAACTCCACTTTTCCAAGCTTCCAAGTGTTTTGCTCTCTCGGAGAAACCTCGTTAAAACTCGAGGCCTCAGGGGCAGTTCGGAGAATTCAAGTTCATGTTTGGTAACCCCACAATACCGCTCTGGCAGGTCGATCGTGTAGAATATGTTGTACTTTGTACGAGTGAACTGAAACCAGATATGGAAAACCAATTCCTACATAGCCAACTTCAACATTTATTACTTTTCAATCCAGCCCGGTTCGTTTAAACAATATTTTGCTTAGAGATAACTGTTTGCCCTTCAAACGCCCGCAGACTTCATATAACCTCTGCGCTTAGAGAATTATTCTGAAACACACCCCACCAGCATCGTATCCGAGGCTGCATGCCAGTTCTATCCCTCAAAGATAGGAGTCCAGAGCTGAAAAGGTCTCGAGCGGTCTATATTCAGCGATTCTGTCAGGTCTAAATTGCACTCTAAATTGCCTAAATTGCAAAGGCGCTAAAACTAAAATCAAATCATCACATTGGTCAAGTCACAGGAAAATCACGTTATCCCATGCTTTTAACGCTTCTCACAGGATCCTCGCATCTCGCATAATCATTTCGTCAAATAGATTATTAAACGGACTTTTGACCAATTCACCCCATTAAAATATTTCTCAGACTAACCGTGACAAGCCCACCAACACCGGGTAGTGTTGGTGGGCTTTACTGGATAGCAACTCATATGTAGGCCTCTGCAAAGCCCACAAAGCCCAACCCACTAATGGGTTGGGCTCTGGGCCTATTATTGGGGCCCATCGATGGGTTATGGGCTTATGCCTTGAGCCCCCATTATTTATCAAACAATACAAATATACCAATCTATCGCAACTGTATAATTAATACATTTTTTTACTAGTTTTTTTTGTGTATTGAGATTACTATCTAAGCTAGTATATATAAAGCTATACGTTAATCATTACTCCGTATATTCTTCCTCTTCTTTATCTTCTTCTAAGTAACAGCCCTGGAGTCTCACACTCAGCGATATCAACAAAAATCATAATCTATTTTCATAAAACTCTACTTTTTTACAAGAAGTACTTCTTTTAACTAGGGGCTTATATATTTAACAGAAGTATGTTTTATTTTCTGAAGGGAAAGCGATAATTCTACCTGTCCCCTGAGTATACAGGTTGGAACATACGTAAAATACAGTCATTAATCAGCTACTTTATGTATGCCAAGATAATATTTATGCAGCAAAATGGGCTTTGGGCCGGGGGTCCCGGCCCATTTATAGGCTTTGCAGAGGCCTATGTACTCATATGGATTAGGTATCTTTGTATGGCAACTCAATACAAAAGGTACATAAATACAACCTGGTTACAACCTCCATTTTCTTGACTCTCAAACTAGGTAGCAAGGATATAAGAAGATATATATGGTATAGATGAAGTTTCAATTACTTGGTATCAGCCTCACTGAGAATTATCAAGTGTTCTCAAAGTTAAAGAATGGTTTTGCTTTTACATAGTGCATTTATGTGGTGTGTTGCAAAATACTTTTTACGCTTCTATATCACAAATTGGGAATCGTTCTTAGTAGTAAATCGATTAAACAAGATCTATGTTAGAATTCTAGTTGTTTATTTGAACTCACTGTCTCTAAACTCTTTTGTTTCCCGAAAAATCATGAGCGGAACGGTGTTGCTTGTGTGTGGCCAGATGAAGCCCTGGGTCGATGAAAAGGATTGAAAAACAAGGTTGTCAAGGTGGTGTGACAGCAGTGGACCGGAGGGCGATCTTGAAAAAGAAGAGGAAATAAAGGATGATAAAAGAAAAAGCGACATATGACCGGTCAAAAGCGATAGGAATGGTCATTTCGAAGTGGATACGAGAATTGAGATTGAAGAAAGACAGCAAAGGCAGAAGGTAGCCTGCAGATAATAGGAGGGTGAACGTATCGCAAGGCGGGAAACATTAAAGTCATCTTTCTCTGGACCTCCACTCGACATCTCCGCTCAATGAGTAGGCAAGGCCCAGGCTTTGGATGTGCATGGAATTCGCATCATTACCTCTTTGTATCTTTCATTTTTGAGATAAGATAGATTGCGTGAACGCAGGACCTCTTTTGGAGTATCACAAGCAGTTTCGAACGAGGCCCGGGGACTTACAGCAATGTCAAATTCCACGGCACAAGTTTGCCTACGAGCTCCTATACGAGCATGTGTCTTCCATTGCGGATCATTTGGATTCAAGCCAGGGCCCAAGTTGATCCACCTCGTAAGAACGAGGGCTAAATTATCACCGTCCTCTCTTAGTTCAATATCGAAATATGTGTTGCATTTGTCACGGCTGCCTCTTAATGGAACCGTCGATTTGCCTGGAATGTATGCCGAAAGCACAGAGTCGATAAGAATCGAAAATCCTGAACGATAGAAATGTCCACAGATCCAAAGGAATAGTGAAGGCGTTGTTTCTGTTTTAGCCGAGAACAGATCCAACCTTCGATCTTTAACTACCATGATGTCTTGTATCCGTAGGTAAAGGCCTATTTGCTCCAAGCAGATATGTGCTTCGATCGAAAACAAAGTGGTTGACTCGGCCCTTTCTCTGACTTCAGTGTGATATAGCGACTCGGCGCTAAGACCAAACTGGGCCCCATAGTAGAACTGTCTCATCACAAGCTGCACATGAAGGAAGGAAAGTCGGTACGCGGTATGACGCATAAGATTATGGATTCGCATTTCGAGTCCTTCTCTTTGCCATTTCTAGTCCGAGATACATGGAAGGCGAGAACGCCACTCCAACTGTAAACCTGTTTCTGCCAGCCCTTCCGGCCCATCAAACTGATGAAGAAGAAAGCAGCAGTGGCACACGAAATAATTTGGCAGATCACGTTCAATTCGTTGTAGGAATGGTAGCTTGTCACTTGCTATAAGTGGAAGAAAGTTTCTTTTGCGACTAAGGGCCCCGAATAGTCGATGGTCGCACATAGAGAGACAAAGGATATCGTCGGGGAACAGGAAGTCTGATATTGATAATGCGAGTTCCACAGGAAGACCATTCAATGTGTGCAGTTTCGGAAGCACGAACTTGGTGGTTGGTTTCCTTTGAATGGACAAGAAGAGCGACTTAACAAGGGTACAGAGAGCTTGTACTGGTCGGCGTCTAGCATGCAGGATCGAGGGCGGTGGGTTCTTAGCCATAGTGCCTAACATACTCGAGATCCCTTGAACTGCACAGAGGTCAACCAGGTGGAACAAATTCGTGGAACATTTATACCTAGAAAACTATGGCAATATGGTCTCGGGGTGAAGGCTGCGGTTTGATGTGGGCGATAAGACGAGATAAAACTAGGAAGAATCTCAAGTGTCTTCTAGAAGAGTAACAGAATGATTAAAAAGGTGTTAAACATGTGGACAGAAGTATAGGATAATCCGTGGACATAGAACCCTTCCAAGGTTTTTACCGCCTTCATACACGGGATATTATACAATAATGATCCCTATATATATTCTACGCGGTCTAATCCTACCAATCAAAATCTAAAATTATTATCAGCATTATTATTTACCAAGGCGGTAGCAAAGGGGTACATGATGTATGTACAAAGTAACTACATATGGGCGACTTCCAACGTTGTTATATTCTGAGTTTCTCCCATGGGGGCCCCAATATCGCAATCTACCAAGGCTCCTCAGCTCTAAGGTCCTAACAACTAGATAGTAGTGCTAATAAGTACATGCTCCAGCTGCCTAGGCCGCAAGGCACTGGGAAATAAAGTTATAAATCTACTTGCCCTAAAGCACAACCCTAACGAGCTTATCGACTGGCTAGCTCTTAACTTCTTTACGCCATTTCTCAGGGTGTTTTCCCTCGCTATCTGTCCGGTCACCTATTCTTCTGCCTTGTCTTCTCTTTTGTTCATTATCTCTATAATCCTGTCTAAGGGCTCTTTGATCTCAGGAAGCAATTTTTCCGTAAATTAAAACGATGTAAGATACGGGAAGAGTGGACGTATGGTGTGTACTATATTTGTCACGGCCTGAGGTGTCTATTTAAACACCGAAAAACTCTGGTTGATCTGGGATGTAAGTAGTAGTATATGAAAAATATCTAATTATCATCCACTGTCTATGGGAGCTCCGATAGTTACATATCACATGGCATGTGAGAAGTTCGCAGCACAGCATTGCTCAGGGTCCATTACCATGACGAATCCGACGATCACAATCTTCAAATGCATCATAATGCCACTTGCATTGATGTGTTGATACGATATCGCAGTAAGGAACTGACAGCTGGGCATACACGCCATCAAGGGGTGTGTTACTCCAACCTAGCGAGGGTAGGACACGACCGCTAATCGGAATCTCTGTCTTTGTGAGGCATGATGATCCTAAGTGTATGTGCGCTTGGCACAGGTATACATACA